ACATTGAGTGTGGAAAAATTATCTGGAACAACTTAACTTAACTTAGCTGCATCCATTTGATAATACAAAGTGAAGTATTCTCGATATTGCTTTTGAACCCGTTGATAATGCTCGCTTTATGAAAGTAACATTTGTGTTTTTGGAAAGTTTAGTTTTTCTAATCAACCCTAAGAAACAAGACCAAAGAGTGTTCCTGAAAAAGCTTGGTTTAAATTGGTCGAAATGTCTGCAAAATGTGGATAGTACGCCAAAAAAGAGCGGGAAATAAAATATATTTTAGTGGACATATTCTTGTTTAAGCATAACCTTAAACAGCACATGTGTCCCGATGCAAATAATGAATTTGAATGTCATGTTTTTGCCCAATAAAGTAACATTTACCTCATCCACTAATGCTTGTTTGTGTTGCAGGTATGACGTGCCAGGCGAGGACGTCCTACACCGAGGACGAGGTCCTCTGGGGACACAGATTTGAGTCGTGCATTTCTTTGGAGAAAGGGGGTTTCCGTGTGGACTACAGTGCATTCAATAAAACCTTTGAGGTCCAAATGTCCCAACTCAGCTCAAAAGACAGCAGCACTAAAAAGGAAAAAGAAATCGTATTTTAGAAATGTTGGCTAAATAAACAGTTCTTGTTTATGTACAATAATATTGCTTTTATTAAGTTACTAAGGCCAGCCATAATTACTGTTTTTCTGTTGTATATTTATTAGATAAAATCTCTCTTTTTATTTTAATATATAATTTAATATGTTAACAATTGTGTTTCGTGTTGTGTTGAAATAAAAAATAAACATCTTGTCGTTGGCTGTGGTCATTTATGGGTAGTTGAAAAACTAGTGTGGAAAAATAACCAAATATTTACAAGCTTGTTTTTATTCCCATTAACACCAGAAAGTTTGAATCCACAGGCTTCATAAAGTATCAAAAGACACCCTTATAACTAAGAGTGGTTCCTGTCAGTGTTTTGTTACAACATATTTGATTATAGAATTATCATTACTGATGCATTAACATTTCATTAAGCAGCATTTCATTGTTTGACCTGGTTGTAGTGGAGCTAATTTCATATTTATTCATTGATTTTATCTAAAGATTTGCTTGATCGTGAATTATTTTTCATTTGAATAAAGTGGCGTGGAAGTAGAATAGCATTAAATGGCCATTATCAAGTAAAAAAGTGTGTAAACACCAAAAGTACAGGAGTAACTATACAGTTTCATTGTACTACTGAATATTCTTTGTGTCAAATGTATGTTTTTGAATAGTTTCTCTCCATTTTTTATTGTACTAGAGGAAGTCAAATCCACAAAGTGCTATTATCATAGAGTATAATGCGTTAGGCCAGCGGTTCCCAACCTTTTTCAACTCAGTGCCCACTTAAGAATCAAAAATGTTTTTGCGGCCCACATTCAACCGTAAACAATAAGGAGGCTAAATAAAGTTCTGATTGGTCGATTCAGAACATGTGACACGTTGTAAATCCAGTAGAACTGACCGCTGTCAAGGACTGTAATGACCGTTGCTAAGGAGGATCAAGAAAGAGAAAGGAAAGGAGGTTTAAATAAAAATAAAATCTTAATAATGAAAATGTTTCCACACAAATCATAATGTTTTGCAAATTATTTGGCGGCAAATATTGAATTTACATTTACACCCTTTAATATTTTATTTGGGCTTTTAGATGAAGACCGCACACAGTTAATAAATACAACTATTCTTCTGGCTAAAATACATATTTTTAAAAGCAAGAGTAATCTTAATTTAAGGTGTTTGAAGAGTAGATTAAAAATACAATTTATTTTGGAAAAAATGATTGCCACAAAAAATCAAAGGGTGGCTCAACACGCCATTGTTTGTGAAATGTTGAAGTGATCCTACTGACTGTATCTTTATCTCTCCTGTTTTTGTTTAGCTTTGGTCTGAGATGGGAATGTCATCTCCTATATGTTATTGTTATGTCCATGTTTGTGTCTTAAGCCTGTACAAAAAAAAATCATACCCATGGTCATATCTCATAAATGAGTTAATCGTGTTAGACAAATATGAAGAAGTTAAACTTTAAACATCAATGACTTAAACACTTAATCCAGGATAAAAGCCACATGCAGGAAGAACAGCTGGTTGTAGAAACCGTGTTTGAATGCGTAAATGAGCAGGTTTATGATATCACTGCCCCATCTAAGACACGAGTGGATCTGACTTTAATTACACTGTTATCCCGCTTATTATTACACGGACACGGCCTCTACTAAACACACTAACGACTTGACTCCCAATATTAATTCTACAATACATATATTCATAGAATAAATGGCAAATACTTTCTTCTTGTAAATCACAAAAAGTACAGGAATATTCAGACATATTCATGTCTAAATCTTTGCAGTACTTCTCTGAACGTTAATCATTTACTTTTAGCCAACCTTTTAAACTGTAAATCCAGAACCTTTAGTTAATAAGGAGCAAACAGTTACGACTGTATTACTTTTACCTAACTTTTAGCAAACTATTACCCAACTGTCTATTACTCTCAGCTTTCACCTGTTTATCCATACCGTTAGCTAATAATGAGCTAACTGTTTCAGGGTGATTCTCTGAATCGGGTGCCTTTTGGGTCTTTACATATTTGAAAAATGAAACTAAATTTTTTGCATTTTTGATCATAACATCTGGTAGTGGACTACTTAAAACTTTGAGAAGAAATTCCTTGAAAAAATGTGACGGGGTTGAAGTTTTTGGCAAAAAGTAGCCATGAGACGTTTAGCTAAGACAGCATCACATGGAATTTAAGGACATCATAAAATTGTAATATTTTGCAAAACTATTGTTTAATTTTTCCTAAATAATTGTTTACTATAAGTAATTCATACAACAGAGTTGAAATGTCGAGCTTGACAATCTCAATCTGACAATAAAAAATGAAATATAGGTAAGAAAAGATACTGACACTTGCCTTTCTTTGCCGCCTTTTCCTCAATAGACTTCTGTGATGTCACTTCCTCAATGCAGATGTCACATGGGGTTGAAACAAACTGGGGGACGTGTGTCAATAGTGCAATTTCATAGATAATTCATGTATTTTTTCAGATTTTTTTTTCTCAGTTAAAGTACACACGCATTATGATTATATTAGCATCAAAATGTTGGTATAATTGGCAATTGTTATTTGTTTAATATTCAATGAATATGTGATGATGCTCAGTGAGGACATGCAAACATGTGTGTTGTCTACTACAAAGACAACTAATTATTATAAAACAAAAACAAAATATATATATTTAGTTTTACATTGTAATGCAAAACACCCTGTTCTTTTAATTCAGTGCTTTAAAATACATTTTGTAGTTTCCTTTCATTTAAAATCTTTGAAGTAAGCTTGGGGGACACAAAGGGCACCCGATTCAGAGAATCACCCTTCAACTGTTTATGATTGATTGATTGAAAAGTTTATTAACAGCTTGTATATTGGGTACAGTACAGTACAGCTCAAAACATACAATTGTTAAGGGGATGCAGACCAGAGAAAGACTTTCGTCTTGTTTACATCAGGGTCCCCCATTTCCAATTCATCATATCATTTAAGACATATAAGACATATATGACATACAGATGGCTTATTTACAATTTACATACAGGTGGTTTTTTACATACAGATGGATTATTTACAATTTTCATTTTAGATTTCGTTCTAATACATCCTAACCGGACATTTAAGACATACCAAGTCTACAGATATACAGTTAGTAACAGAGTCTAAAATGCGAGTATATACATAGATGGGGGGGGGGAAGCTGTCCATTGTACGACAGGTTGAGATTTGTACCATTACCGGGGCCAGTTTTGCAATGCTTTCCCCCGAAGGTGCTCTTTAAGAGAGGTTTTGAAGGTAAGTATAGTTTTACTTTCCTTTACAGTTGTGGGAAGAGCGTTCCACCTTGATGTGGCATAATTGCGAAACGTGTATTCCCCTTTTTTTGTGCCAAATCTGGGTTTTACATGATTTGTGGAGCTCCCTCTGGTGTTATGATCATGGTATTCCTTGACCTTTGGGAAGAATTTGACATGTACATGGGTACCATAGAGGTGTAGTGGATCTTGTAGACCAGGCCCATTGCAAGTAGCTGTACTCTGTCGTCTACTCTAAGCCATCCTAGGTTGTCAAAGTGGGCAGAGGTGAGGTGGGTTCTAGATGAAAGGTCAAGCAGTAGTCTGACCAGTTTATTTTGCGATGTTTGAAGTTTTGTTTTTAGCGCCTTGGAGGTGCTATGGTACCATGACGTGCAAGCATAGTCATAGTACCCTTGAATGAGTGCTCCTGCCAGAGTTTTCAGGGTGTTTTTGTTTACCAGAGAGGAGATCCGGTATAGGAATCTAGTTCTTTGATTGACTTTTTTTATTACATTGGATGCCATTTTGTCACAGGAGAGGTTTGCCTCAAGAATAGATCCTAGGTATGTAATTTCCTTCTTACTTGTGACAATAATGTCACCCACTGCAACTGAGAAGTCGTCGGATTTGCTGAGATTATGTTTCGAACCGAAGAGAATGGACTCTGTTTTACCCAGGTGTAATGATAATTTATTATCGGCGAGCCAGGTGCAGATTCTGCCGAGCTCGGAGCTGAGGGTTTTTTCAACCTGCAATCTGCTCCTGTCAGAGACATTATTTTCTTAGCTAACTACTCTGACTGTGTATCCCTTACTTTAAGCTAACGTTTTGTTGTTTATTATATATGGCTATTATATGCAACCTGTTTGACCTGGCAGGACTGATGTTAAAGCATCTGAAACTGAAGGTAGTTCAATGATTTAGACTTTTGATAAAGAACCTTTTTTGTCCTTGTGGATTTTTTAATCACGTATTGCTTGTACTCGTTGGCTTTGAGTTCTATAAAGAGTACTAAATATTAAAAAAATACATCAGGGGTGATATCGACTCCAGGCCGGTAAATGGCGCTGATGCCCAAACCGCCGAAGGCCCCAAAACCCGAAGAAGAAAAGCCGCGTCCGAAGAGAGCATGACGGGATATGAAAGTCCTCCGGCGGCGCGCTGCCGCCATGTCACCGAGAGAGAAACATATAGCTATTATCTCTGTTTTAGGCGTAGTTAGTCTTGCTCTTTATTATATTCCCAATTTTCTTTGGGTGACTTTATTTCTTTCAGTGTGTTGTATTGTGTGTTACTATCAAAGCGGAGAACCGCTTCCCGCCAGGTTAGGCCTCAATCCTCGGGCTCGCCTGAGAGTTCCAGCCGTGCTCCGGCGCTGGTTTTGGGGCTGGGTATCAACCGGCGTGTCGGTGGCCGCTCGGGGGAAAACGAAGAGCGGCAGAAACAAAACTGAGCACCGGTCCTTTGAGGGACACTTCAGAGAAAGGCCCGTTGAAACTGGGATTTATAGGAGGGATACTTTGCACACTGAGTCGTTTCTTTTCAGTCCTCGGGATTTCCTCATGGGGAGTTACATCGGAAAACCCGAAAGTCCAACTGCCGACTCCGGGAGGCCAAGAGCCGGGAGAAACCCCCGAGAGCAGCTCCGTGAGAGACTGGCCAGACCCAACCATGCTGTCTACACGCCGAACAGGAGGCTCTCATTTGCCGGGTACGTTGATGGCCAAACAACGCTGCATCATACGCAGCTCTCATCCAGGAGACGGTTCAATTTCTTGGCGCGGTTTTAACGTTAATTATTAACTCTTGGATAAATTACCATTGACACATTAAAACAGGCAACAAAGAATAAGGTAGCCGCTTTTTGAGAGATATTTGACTCAGACAAACACACATTATCAAAGCACACGGTCAAGGACTCCTATAGTCAATCCAATATTACTCTTTTTAGTCACTAGAATATATTTTGTGTTACCCAGTGAAGCATTACCTTGTTCTCTTTAATCAGAAATTGCATATGCCATTATAAGTGTGCCTGTATATGGTATAATGATCCCTAAGCCTACTGTTGCTGGAGAAAAACACATTGAGTCACACAAACTGATCATTTAAACACAACCCCATCATTAAACTAAGCTGCAATGTACTCTGTGTTTCGGTCCAAAGCCTTCCCTCCTCAAACCTTAGAGAACAAATCTAATTGAACTTATTTTTTGTTAGAAGTTATCCAGCAACAGATTTTAGCTTTAAACTTTTTTCGGTGTAGTGATGAAATGTTTACTGAATGCACAAACAGGGCTTTCATCCAATATTTTCATAGACTAACATGACCTGACATAGGAAGCAATAGTGGAGGGGAAAGGCACATGTTAAAGTTATAATGTGAGGAGATGGTTCATTTAAATGTGGATTTCAGCACAGGCAAACGTTGTATCTTTCATAGCAGACAGCAGACCACAATAATATATTTGAAGATACTACCAGTGGCTGGATTATAAAAAACAAGTTTGGACTTTTCCCCATAGGCTTCACCAGAGATGGCAAAAGTACACACATCCTTTACTCAAGTAGAATTACAGATACTCGTGTTTAAAAATGTACTTAAGTACAGTAACAAAGTATTTGTACTCCACTACTTCCCACCTCTGAGCTTCACAACTGAATCACTTAGTAATAGACAGAGAGCTAAAGTCACAGTTGATGCTCTGTGAGATGTAGATATGTGTTGTAATTTAAACATTTGTTTCCCCTCAGGGAGCCGCCGGCCACAGCGGGCAGATTCACCATCACCCCCCAGCGTCATTACCCCCTGCAGCAGCCCGGGGTCTCACAAGTGGGAGTCCTACCTCCTGTGAAGTGGGACAGCTTCAGGAAGAAAAACATCCTCAGCCCTCGTAACTGTTCTGCTGTCCTCAGCCCCGTCACCATCAAGATCGCCAGGCCGGACCACCTCAGCTCCCCCAGGTCTCTACGTTCACGCCAATAATCAGTCTGTTTATCATACCAGGGTTATTATGTGTTTGTCCATTTTCTTACAAAAAACACCACTTTGTACTTCATATTACCGTGTATCATCTTCAAAGTGTGCTTTCAGAACATGTTGTACATTTACATATCTTGTAACTCGTGTAACTGCGTCATGATTTCTGGAAAAGGACATTGCTCAGAATTTTTTTTTAATGTATCTTTTGCAGCTTGAGCACCACAAGCAAAGGCCATCATCTAGTTGAACTATAATAGAGAAAGGGCAGACATCTCTAATGCTGATATCTCTAACACAGCAAGAGGACTAATATGTATTTTAGATTTTAAGATGAAATGTCTCATTTTAAGATAAAAACAGTTTGATGACAATTAAAGTATGAAGCAACTGGTGATTACTTGTGCCACAACAGTGATGGTGTATTATCGCACTCCATTATATGGATAGGTATCTCTAAGTCCATTGGTTTGTAAACTGACTGATAACACTGACCATAGTTTCAATTCTAACTTTCTTTTTGTTTTTAGTTTTGACCATCTGAGTTGTGCGGGGCTCCCCAGGGCGCCTGTGGACCCCTGCTCCAGAGAAAGTGTCCTCAAGGTTTTGAAGGAAAGCCGCAAGAGAGTAGTTGAGGAGGAGGACGGAAGCTTCACAGCCGAGCAGAAAAGCAAAAGAAGGTACGCAGAATTCACTGGCACTAATTACTTCCTTACAATATAAGAAATGTTAGTCTGGTGAGCAAGGCTACCAAAAAGTAGCCTGCCCAACGGCTCACCTTTTAGAAGTCGTAGTCGTCTAGAGAGAATCTCCCGCATTGCATGCATGGATAAATCAATGAATATCCAGCAAACTGTTTTACATAAAAAGCATTCTGGTTCTCTCAGTACATCTTTGTCATGTCTGAATTAGGCCTAAGGGAACAGGGCTTTAGCTATTTCTGTGTGAACATTTGTCGATATCTCAAGATTTTAGAAGAACACGTGCTTCTCAGGACCTGGTTTATACATATAGTCAGTTGAAGTGTGTTTGTTTGTAATCCATTTTATTTCCCCAAAGGCGTAATGACAGCAATGGAAGCGCACAATCTGCGTTTGAGCCTCTCCTGCCCAACGGGACACCATCACTGCTGGTCCCTAAGTAAGTTTGACTTTCTGAAGTGACACTTTACTGTCAAATCTTGTCATCTCTGAGGTCTATTGACTGCATATTTGATGCTGTGAAGTATATTGTGTCTGTCTAAACAAATGTGAAAATGCTTTCCGTTCCTTCCTTCCTTCAGGCCTGGAAGCCTGAAAAGAGGGATGACCTCCCTTGCAGAGGATGCCCTCATGAAGAGATCTCGCACCTCCTCCATCAGCTCCGGCAGCGGGGTCCACACCCCCAGAGGAACCCCCGGCAGCAGGAGAAACCCTATCCAGAGCTCCTACAGCTCTTCAAAGGGCCTCAGCCAGGTAGCGCCTATCAGCTAAATTAAAGTGCACATATCGCTGCAATGACATAAAGCTTATTTGTTAAGATGTATTCATGTTTTCCTTCGTAGTGGAAGAAGCGGTCAGCACCCAGCTCCCCTCTCTCCAGCCCCGGGTCATCTCGCTCTCAGACCCCAGAGGCAGCCTCCAAAAGAGCCAAGTACGTCTCAGTCTGTTTCCTCCTAGTCATTTAATGACAATATTTCAGTTTGTAACCTGTGGTTTCATTGCAGGGAGGACGACGGACAGTCTCCCAGCTCAGCATCCTCAGTGAGGTCAGAGAAGACGGCCTCTGAGAAGGTTCCTGTTACATGTAAGTCTCATTTATCTGCAGTGGCTGTACGGTGAAGTCAACTTAGAAGTGCAGCTCTGTGGCCAACAGCACGATACATAAATGGGCAGTTGGATGCAAACTGTGGTTTGTCTGCTTAGAGTTCAATATGGCAACAATAGGTAGGTATGCACTGTCCTGATAAAAAATAAATAATCAGATACATCAACTCGGGGTTTACAGGTTGTCTCCTTTTAACACATTGAGACCTTGTACAGTTTCTTATTTTTATTTAAACAAATGAACAGTCACTGGTTTGATGTAAAACCTGAGATTCATGGTCAGCCCCTCGACCTCCAGGACACCAGTGTGCCTCTGGAACTATGGTTATGTAAGATGACATGAGGACAGGGGTTTGCTGTGACACTAAAACTGTCTGGATTCATTTAGCTGACACTATGGTGACTAGTGAGAAGAAGCGAGAGACTGAGAAATTAACTACTTCACATCTGGGCGAAAAACCAACCCCTAACAGGGTCAGCACAAGAGCAGATAGCGATGCAGAATATCAGATCAGTGCATCCCTACAAAAACATGTTAGTTGGTTGAATCAGTCGGTTTATAATTGTGCATTGCATTCATAAACACACTAGAAGCAGGGTGTCCGCGGGGTCTTAAAAAGTATTAAAAGTTGATAAATAAATGTAGCGAAAATTAAGGGTATTAAAAAGTATTAAACGGAATTTTCCAAGGTATTACATTTTGTAGCTTGTTTTCAATAAGTATATAAATTGTCCAAAGAGGTTGTATTCTACAGTCTGCCTGAATGTAATCATTGCGTAGGTGTGTAGTGTGATTCTGTGTAGTTTATTTATGGCATCCCGTTGGATTTGACGTCATCTGAACAGGTCATCGCACGCTCACTGCTTGATAGCGCGCGACGGTCCGTTTACGACGGTAAACAACATCGTTATGGGGAAATGCAAGTTTGCGTCCAAATGGTTGGAAGATAAGGAGGAAGGACAATCAATACTGTATATAGTACATTTGAGATAAAGTGTGTCGCCAATGTAACCGGTTAAAACTCAAAGTGGCGATGAGGTCTTAAAATGTATGGAAAGGGTCTTAAAAAAGGTCTTAAAAGGTATTACATTTGACTTCAGGATTCCTGCATATACCCGGTCTTAGTGGTTCTTTTTGTTTAAGGGGAAAAACTAAACAAATTAGGAACAGTAAACTTGTAGATGGGGTAACAACAGAGCTACTAGATAGGCACTCTAAAAACTGCTTTGCTCCGTCTGAAAGTTGGGCACTTTTGTCAGATGTTCGACCCTTACATGAAAACACTTGTTGCACTTGTGGCAATGGGTGTTGTCCAAAACGATCTTTGAGAAGTGTAACCACACTTTTGAACTCTCTTTCTCTCCATCATGATCACGAGCAGATCACTCTTGTGTACTGCATGGTGCTGCAGCGTGAAAATGCCCTTTCGGATAAACAAATGCTTTAACCCTATTGCAAATTAGACACAGATTAAGTGAGAGAAAAAGGTGCAAGATAACGTTTGTGTAAAAAAGTATTATACAATCAAATAAAAAGACATATAAATGTAAAAAAACAATAACATTTTATTGTCCATTTTATTATGATGTTGCAGCTAAATGTACTCCAGCTCTCAAGCTGCCAGTCACCCCCTCAGCAGAGTCTACTGGGAGTGGTGGGAAGAGGAAGCGTAAGATCCAGCTGGTGTCGAGCCACCGGGACGATCAGATCTCTCTGGTAAGGAGTGCGTCCTTCTGAATATCGCCGTGTGTTACAGAGACATGGATTTCTCTCTAAACTCTGTGTTTTTATTTTTATTTTTTTAGCCTCCACCTCCAGAGCTGGGCTACACCATCACTGTGAAGGACCTGGATGAGGAGAAGAAGGCTGCGCTCAGCAAAATCCAGAAGGTGCTGGAGACCCCTGGTGAGTGGAAGCAGCAACACTTTCAAACTCTTTATATGCAACATTTTTTTGTGTGTGTGGGGTCATGTAATCGCAAAAAAAGACGGGGTGTCCAACTCAAATAAACAGTGGGCCAAAATTAAAAAATGGGTACTAGTCGAGGGCCGGACTGGTTCAATGTTTATTGCAAAACGTATTGAAATGAACTTATTGCACATATTAAACCTGGAACTAACAAAGCTTAAATTATTGACTATAAAAACAACATTAAACTTTAAATAATCAGTTGCATTCATTTCTTATGGCTCTATTTGCAGCTTTTCCAGAGTCATTTCTTATGATTACATTTTTCCACAGGCCAACAACAGCTTCAAAAAAACAATTCCCCTCAAAGAAAAAAACAAACATGCCCTGTTGTCGCAAGAGAAAAAGTGCAGAAGGAAACATCCATGTAAACTCAGTGTGCTGCTCTGTGATGCTAGTTCAAGCCAGATACTTGGCATCTCATCTTGGGTGCAAGTTCATCAATGTTTGGGCTCAGGCTCTGAGCTGAGGAAACCCTCAGGATTGAGTGAAGGTGTGCGTGCAATATACCGGAGGGCCAGATCTAATAGTAATTAGAAATTATCCTGCCGGCCGAAAGTAAATCCACCAAGGGCCTGATTTGGCCCCCGGGCCTTGAGTTTGACACATGTGGTCTAGACTTCAAGAACCTGGGATGGACATTTTTAAATCATGCTGCACTTTTATCTTCCATTCACACATACAGACTCTTACTATTGAATAATGCCAGGCTGCCATTCATTGTTAATAATATCCTTCTGCCACCCAACGACTCCAGACTCAAAAATACCTAGTATTGCACCAATTTTCAGACTCTCTCTCTTCGGGGACAGTGTCTGCCTTTCTCTTTGAATCCTGTTGAACTAAATACCTTTGGGTTTTTTGCTGAATAAATCAAGACTTCCAATCCCTCACCGTGGAAAAACAGAATTCAAATGTACATGGACTTATAAATAATCATTAGTTGCCCTCATTAGAGCCCTACTCCAAATAGTAAAGCAGCTTTTATTTCTACTTGTTTTGGAGACCATGGTGTGTCAGGACAGTCAGACTTGACCAGACGTTTGAGCCCCCCCCCCCCACCCACCTGACCTATGAGCTTTTGACTTCTCCTTCTTCAGCTCCAGAGCCAGAGAAGTCTGTCGCCCCCGCAGTCTCCACTTCCCTCCATCCTGCCTCCTCCAGCAGCATCACCACCCTGAGCAGCCTCCTGGCTTCTCCTCTGCCCACCGCCTCCTCAACACTCTCAAACACCCCCGTCATCAACCTGGACCCCAGCGTCAGTGTGAGCTCCGCCCCGGCAGCATCCAACCCGCTGCTGGAGGCTCTGAAGATGAAGATCATCATTCCTGCGAGCTCCACCTCTGCTGCCAACACAACTACAGGTAACACACACACACACACACACACACACACACACACACACACACACACACACACACACACACACACACACACACACACACACACGTCGTTTAAGTGTTCCCCAATGTGTCTGGATTTTGAGGGTGGTCCTGTGGCTCAACACAACTACAGGTACCGTCACTGAACTGAAGCTGTTCTTCAGAAAAGTTCTGAAGCCATGTTTGCAATTTGATCTATAACATAAAAATAATAAGTAATTTTCACTTTGCCATGTATCCCTAGACGTAAGTATGATACGATAATACTTTAATGGTCAGATCAAGCCTGAAATAACAGCACGATCACTGAGAGAAAACATGCTCAAAGACCCTTTAGTGTGCATTTGATCTGGGATCAGCTCTGTGAGGGTTGACTGGAGCACAAAGGATGCTTCAGTCTGACTTTATTGAATCGCGGGACCCTGTATCTCCCATTAGATGGTAGCAGTTCATATTCGCTGTTCAGAACATGGTTTGGGTCCCAGATGATGTAGTTGGACAGCTTCAATAGGTTATTATGGTATGCTGAGTCATAAAGTCTCTGACAGGGTTGACCAACAATCGTGGAGCAGTCTTTTTCACAGGTGATCATATACATCTTGTTTGATTCTGACATGTTCTTGTTGTTTTGTCTCCGTAGTGTCTGCATCCTCCACGCCGGTGCAGTCCAGTGGTTTCACCCTGAATGTTTCCACTGCAGGAGTCGCCCCTCCTGCCTCCACCTCTACATCCTCCTCTACAGGTGTGGATCAGCCCTCAGCCTTCACCCAGGTGCTGAGTCAGGTCTCCAAGCCCTCCATCAGTGTTGCTGCTGTAGCAGGACCAACCCTGTTTGGACTGAGCAGTCTGATCAGCATCGCTGCTGCTTCTTCCGCCTCCAACCCGGTCTCTGCTGCTGCCCCTTCCCCCGCCAGCAGCTTAGCTTCACTCAGTAACACCAACCCTCTGCTGGCTTCAGGGTTCAAACCCATTTTTTCCGTCACCACCACCACCACCCCCACAGCTGCATCAACCCCGGAGAGCAAACCTCCTGTCCAAAGTTTCAAGCCCATCTTTGGAGCTGCTACTTCAAGTGCTGGATTCGGACTGCCTCCACCCTACACCACCTCTAACTCAGCCGCCACCGCTTCTCCCAGTATCACATCATCAATGTTTGGTGGATCCACTAGCAGCACCACAGTTACCCCGTCTGTTTTCCCTGGTTTAACCATCACCAACACCCCCTCCTCCACCGGCTCCATCGCTGCCACGCAGCCCGCAGCCCCAGCAGCTGTGAAATCCCTCTTTGGAAACTGGTCAGCACCAACAACAACCTCCACCAGCTCAGCCTCAGCGCAGGCGCCTAACACCGGGAGCTCATTTCAGTTTGGAGCCGCGACCACTACTGCTGCTGCTGCTCCTGTCCTGACCGCTGCTGCCACCACCACCTCCAGCGGGGGCAACTTCGCCTTTGGTGCCACACAGGCAGACCCTCAGGCAGCCAACCAGAAGGCATTCTCCTTCGGTCAGGCCGCTCCCAGCCAGAACACAACCACATCTTCATTTGGAGGCTTTTCAATGGCCACCACGGCCTCCTCCACCACTGCTGCCACCACCACCCAGTCCACCTTCAGCTTTGGGAAGCCGTCCTTTCAAGCACCGGCAGCACAGGCCACATTTGGCTCCTCGGCGGCACCGGCAGCACAGAACACATTTGGCTCCTCTGCGGCACCGGCAGCACAGGCCACATTTGGCTCCTCGGCGGCACCGGCTGCACAGAACACATTTGGCTCCTCGGCAGCACCGGCAGCACAGAACACATTTGGCTCCTCGGCGGCACCGGCAGCACAGAACACATTTGGCTCCTCGGCGGCACCGGCAGCACAGAACACATTTGGTTCTTCAGCGGCACAAACGGCACCGACCACGTTTGGTTCTTCAACGGCAGCACAGGCCACATTTGGTTCTTCAGCGGCAGCACAGACCACCTTTGGCTCCTCGGTGGCAGCGCCTAACTCTTTCAACTTCGGTGGAGGAGCATCATCCACCCCAGCCCCTAACACCGCCCCACCCTCTTTCCCCTTTGGGTCGACTGCCGCCACAACAGCTGCCAGTTTTGGGACGCCTGCTAAACCAGCGTTTGGAAGCAGCTCCACTGGGTTTGCTTTCGGCGGCACCGCTGCTCCCTCTGCTGCCCCCTCGGCTGCTCCGAGCTTCGGTTCAGCCGCACAGACTCAGAGCTCCTCCTCCTCCAACTTCTCTTTTGGAAATGCGGCTCCTCAGCAGGCGGCGCCCGGTCCGGCTCAGCCTGCATCCGGTGGATTTAACTTCGGAGCTGCGATGCCATGCCCCCAGTTTGGAACACCAGCCCCCAGTAACCCTGCACCACAGATGGGAGGCTTCAATTTCGGGGCTGCTGCTACTGACAAACCAGCTTTTGGTAAGAAATAAAACACATTTTATGTTTTATATTTCAGTGAGAAACGCAACTCAAACTTGATAGGGTAAAACCTTGAACTGCTCTATGATATGCATGCAATGGCGCATTTCCACTGCAGGGCCTCGCACAGCTTAGTATGGTATAGTTAGGCCTTGGTAGGCCAGGCTCACTTTATGCTGCGTTTCCATTACAGTTTAGTAGCTGGGGTAGTATCTATAGTAACGCAGTGTAGGCGGAGCCGTGACGTCATCTTCAATGAGAACCACAGAAAACCAACATTAGCTGTTAGCCCTCAGAGCTCACAGCTCCTCATATCTGTTCAGAAACTAGATAAAAGTTAAACAAGTACAAACCACAGACTGCCTGTGTCATGGCGAATACAGTCGCTGGTTTATTTATGTCTGTAGGCCGTTGTTGTGAGTGTGGACGGTCGGAGCATATACTGCGTTAGCTTAGCCAATCTCCATTCAGAAAACACGCATTTTAAAAGGTTTTTCGCCTGCCGTCTGTCTGCAGACTTGTCAAAGCATTTTGTTGTAGTTGCCAGCGATTCTCTCACTAGTTTAGCATACTCAGCCCGGTTGTTGGCCCGGAAAGAACCTCGATTTTGGAGAGCCAGAAAACTGTGAAATAGTACCTGCTAGCCGGAACTACGCCTAGTGAAAACGCAACCAACAACGGGCCGGGCACGGCAAGCTTAAACCGCTCTCCGCGCTGTAGTGGAAATGCGCCATAAATGTATGTAATTGTTTATAGTAAGATAAAGTACAAGCTTTGTGAGAGAATGCAGCTTTAATATTTCAGATCGAAACTACAATATTTTGCAAACATGTCAGTCTTTTGAATGAGAATAATACAATATCTAATTTAAACCCTAAAACGTTCCTACGCAATAGAAAGAAAGAAATGGGAATTTTAGAAACCATTATGTACAATGCTGAATGGGAAAACTGCTATTTTGATGTTGCTCAAAGAGCTGTTTAATAAAGTTGTGCTTCTCTCTGCAGGAACGTCTAACCCATCCTTCGGTCAGAGTGCTCCCGCCGCTGCAGGTCCGATTCCCTTTGGAAGTCCTGCAACTCCAGTCCAAGGCTTCAACTCTGTTCCTTTCGGTATGTCATTTTTGTTTCTGGTGGTAAGGCACTTCCTGCAGAGATCCGCAATTCTGCTTCCCTTCACATCTCCAAGTCATCATTAAAAACTCACCTGTTCACCATGGCCTTTGGACCCCTAACCCACAGTCCCCCTGCTTCCACTCCTACTGCTAATAGCCGCGTTCACACAAAGTACTTTGCCGTACTCAGTGCCCCGGCACTTATTACCCCAGGGCACTTAGTACAGATCGCGTTCACACCGGAATAAATTCCCTGAGGGAAGATTACGCAAATGAGCCGCTGACGTCACTTCGTCTTCTTCTGCTTTGGGTTTACTAGCAGGCCCCAAACAACTTCACGGTGTATACTGCCACCCGGAGTCCCCGGCCGGAAGTCCCCGGAGTTGGGGACTGGCTTCAGTAGAAGCTGCTGGGACTCCCAGCAGCTTCTACTGAAGCCTTCCGAGTAAATCGCCAGAACGCCGACACCTCCTCATCTCCACCGCTCCCATGTTTTATTTTGTGTTGCCATAAGTTAGTCTCTCTGAGTTTGTGCGCTGGGCGAATGCTAATGCCAGGATAATAAAATGGCGGCTCTACAAAACATTTCAGAGTTGTACGGGGCGTGGTTTGCAATTTGCCCAGCCAATCAGAACTGGGGCACTTTTTTCCCCCAGGATAGTACCATCTCTCAGCAGGCACTAAAAATGGGGGTAAAAGTTCCCGGGATTAAGTACTCTTTTTGGTGTGAACGCGACATAAGGGGTACTAACGGAACTAAACGCGAAAAGTACGGTGAAAAGTACTCCGGTGTGAACGCGCCTATTTATTACATTTCTACTTCATTATTTGCCTCTTGTTTGTTTGTTCGTCATGTAAAGCGGCCTTGGGTCCCTTGAAAGGCGCTATACAAATGTAGTCTATTATTATTATTAGTAGAAGGTAGGGCTGCTCAATGAATCGTATTTTAATCGCAATTACGATTTTGGCTTGCAACGATTATGAAAACAACATAATCGAAATAAAACGATTTTTTTATTTTTTATTGTTTTTTTTATTGGTTTTTCAGTTGAATTATACTTAAAGTTCAGGGTAATCAACTGTTAAAAACATACTGTTCAAATATTTTTTTTTATAAATGGATGTTTTCAAAGTAAATGGATAATCGTTTTTAATAATCGTGATATCAATTATTGACCCAAATAATCGAGATTATAATTTTTGCCATAATCGAGCAGCCCTAGTAGAAGGACAAACCTACATTTGATCCTTAGAAATGACAGGTGCTTCTTGTCATTATCCTCAGGGTCCCCAGCCGCTCCCTCCTTCTCCATCGGAGCCGGATCAAAGCCAATTGGAGCTCGTCAGAGGCTTCAGGCGCGGAGGCAGCACAACAGGAAGAAGTAACGTGCTCCGTGTGTCCAGCACCGCCTAAAGAGGACTTCAGCTGCTGCTGCTGCTATCGTTGATCTGGCTTACGTTGCTCTGATCAAACCCCTCAAACCTGGCTGCCACCACGTCCTCTGCTCCCCCTCCTCAGGTGGTTGTGCTTGCCCGAAACATTGTGTTTGTAGAGGAATTGGAAAGAGCACACAGCCTGCTCGCTGCCTGGATGACTACATGTGAGGAGACAGGATCCATAACAACGTACTATACTTGAAGAGAGGGAGAAGACACGTTTGATTTTGAACAAAAGCATATCCAAAGTCCTTTTTTGTTTTCCTTTTACAGTGTGTGGACACTCCCATTGGTTGGTCTTAAGGAGAAGTTGAGACGCCTCGACTCAAACATTTATTTTTTATACGTGAAGAGCTCACTGGTTTGTATGTTACAGAGTATTTGAGTTCGTTATCTGAATGAATGAGTGTGATTAGGATGAAAGGCACAGTTGATTCAGATAAGGTACAAAAACACTGCAGTGTAAATGTAAAGTTATGAGAAGTTTGCATTTTTAAATTATTTTTTTAATTGGCTCTCTGACCCTGTAAATGAATGATGTGTTTCTGCAGTTAAAGGGCGACTTAGTTAATGTCTTAAAGTAGTTACTGCAGACTTTTGTGTTCTTGTTTCATACTTTTTGTCATTTCAAGCATTCCTAGAGCCTTTTTTTGACAGTGATTGCCAACACTGATGTAATTAGCAGGTCAGTATAGGACTAAGATGACTACTCTTATCTTATACTGACCAAACCAAAGCCAACTCATCAACTTCATGCCTGTGAAAAGAATCTGTGAACTCTGTCTCTCTTTATGCTGAGATGTTTGTTTGTGCCAGACTACCTCTCTTTGCTCCAGGCGCTGAATCTGTGTCACTGACAGGATTGAGAAGATCAATAATATTTTAACCACTGTTAACACCTTTTTAATTAATACAGTGAGTGTTTAAATTACATGCTGCAAAACAAACATTAGCCCCTCTGGTATTTCAATGTTTTAATAGATAAATAATATCAGCTTTACTTAGATACAATTTGTCATATTGAAAAGTATTAGTTATCTGCTTAGTAATTGCATAAACTCTCATGATGATGTCGAAGATTTGTCAAACACACGGGACGATAAACACATTTCTGTCTGCGGTCGAGGTTTTTTTTAATTAAAATGATTTCTGTTTTGTGTGATGCATTTTGTGGTTAATTTTGAATGAATAAAAACTGAATTTTGGACTTGAATGTTACAAAAAGAACACATTTCAACCCTTTGAGGTCCCATTCTTCTTTTCTCTTCATGTGATTGTTGACTTTTATATATCAGGGTGTCCGCGGGGTCTTAAAAAGTATTAAAAGGCAATCAATTTAGCGAAAATTAAGGCTATTAAAAAGTAGGCATTACATTTTGTAGCTTGTTTTTAATAAGTATATAAATTGTCCAAAGAGGTTGTATTCTACAGTTTGCCTGAATGTAATCATTGCGTAGGTGTGTAGTGTGATTCTGTGTAGTTTATTTATGGCATCCCGTTGGATTTGACGTCCTCTGAACAGGACATCACACGCTCACTGTTTGTTAGCAACAACGCCGGTTGTTAAACAACATCGTTATGGGGAAATGCAAGTTTGCGTCCAAATGGTTGGAAGATAAGGAGGAAGGACAATCAATACTGTATATAGTAAATTTGAGATAAAGTGTGTCGCCAATGTAACCGGTTAAAACCATAGACTATATATAAAGGTTAAAACTCGAAGTGGCGATGAGGTCTTAAAATGTATGGAAAGGGTCTTAAAAGGTCTTACATTTGACTTCAGGATTCCTGCATATACCCTGGTGTATATTCACTTGACTTTATCTGAGTCCCTACTCCATACTGCTTTCTAATAGGAGTCATTTTTTATGTAAGAATACAAGAGGTCTCCATCCTTTTACGCATTGCCTTATGCCAACCCTCCTGTCCAGTAGTTGGCGGTATTGGCGCTTTTCGTTGTTTGCCAACATTTACATCGACGAAGAACAAGACAAAAACGTACTTTGACGCATGCGCAGTAGCCTCAGGTAGCGAGGTAGTAGCCAAGTAGACGTTAGCAGTGTATTAAAGTACGTGGCACCAAACTTTTGACATGATGGAAGTAGCAGCATTAGTGGCCTTGACCTTATTATTGGGTGCACTAGTTATTCTCGTCGCAATAGCGGTAGGTAAAAGGAAAGAAGAAATAAGGGAGGAAATAGAGCAAGCGGCGGAGTTGACCGGTAAGAGACACACTAAGCTAACGTAACTCTAGTCGAGCAATGAGTCATTAACTGTCACTATCACTGGGGTCTTTGACACATGTCCATTCATTTATTCATGTGTGAGTGTAAGAACTGCACCTCCACGGTTACGTAGACACCTTACGAAGCGAGTAATAGAAACTACAGCAACTTTGAGTGACTGTCACCTGTCTTCATTGACTATAAATTATGCAAACATGAGATCAGAATTCAACCATGATGCTCTTTGACCTCTCAGTGCTTCAGAGCTTCGATTTAGGTTGTAGGAAGGCCTCTTTTAAGGGTTTGTTTTGTACTTGCAGATGATTGAATGTGCACAAAGACAGATCTAAGAATAAGTGCAATAAGGAAAGGAGAAATCAGCAGTCTTCAGTCAAAGATGCTGGAAGCCTAGCATCAAGATGTGTGCAGGTTTAAATAAGAGGCCATTTTGCACTATAATGCCTAAAACAGGCTTCAATTCACAGGCAGCGTGTTGCTTTTGCATAGCTCTGGATCTGGACAGTTTAACCTACTGAGAAGACTATGAGGCTTTATGAGAAATGGACAAACTAAATATTTAAAGCCCAGTTGCACGTTGTGATTAAGGGTCATTTAGGCTTTTCTGGACTGGAAAAACAAAACCATTTTCGTCAGTATATTTTCTACTTTTTGTATTGCTGTTTTATTTCTAAACAATGCCTTGTTTTAAATGCTGCTGCAACGCAAACATTTCTTAAATTGGGATCACTAAAGTACATCTTATCTTATCTTTCATGCAAAACTGTGGAGACAACACTAAAATAGAAGTTTGAATCATTTGTCTTTCCTTCAATTGGGTCAAAAACTTTTGGGTTTCTGAATTATACTGTTGTTATATGTTTTAAATTGACATCATTGAAGGAAGGAAGAAAAACCTCTTTACAACAGATGCTTCCATAGCATAGCATCACGAGATGTTAGGAACTGCTAAATCCATGTCACCCCTTTGTCCACCAGAGACCTTTAATAGTGACAACAGAAATGTGCACAGATTTTAGTTTGTGGTCTCGTAAATTGAAATGTTTTTGAGTCGCCGTCTGTTTTGTTTCTCAGCTGAAGGCAGTGCTGCAAAGGTTCCTGCGTCCAAGAAACCAAAGCAGGAGAAGCTGCGCGTCCGAAAGGATAAAGCCTCACAGCACACGTTCAGCCACCAGCTGCTGGCCGCCTCACTGAAGGTAAACCTGAGCACACGGTGACATTACAACTGCCTCTGGGTAAAGAGAGGGTGCTTGTTCTACGACATGTTCGTAGTTGTCAACTGTTTAGAAGTAAAAAAGCCCCTATTTCTATTTAGTTTGCACTCATTGATGTCGTGTGGTGGCATGGCATTTATCATTATTGATCAGAATAATTGTTAGTTGCAGGGCTAAACAAAAACAACATAAAAACATAATGACCTTCATGGAAATACAATGTATATGTTGAATTCAGAAGTGTTAGTTTTAACTAGAAACTGAAAAACTGTGTACATGTGTAGATATTTGTCATTTCAAACAACGCCCATGTACTTTTTCGTTTTATTTGACCAATTTTGTTCGGTATTTAATTTGTCATTTTCGTGTCTCTAAAAAATATATGATTTGCAAAACTGTACTTTTAATATAACGTGACCCCAAATAAATAAAGAATAAAAAAGAAACTGAAAAACTGGCAACTGTATTTGTGATGTGTTTTTTTGTGTTTGCCTCACTTCAGGCTTTTTCTCCCAAAGCCATTTCTTAAAGCTTTTGTGTCCGTGTTCTTCAGAGCCACAGTGCGAACGTGACGTGTCTGGACTTCAGCAGTAACGGGAAGTATCTGGCGTCCTGCGCTGACGACCGCACCGTCCGGATCTGGAGCACCAAAGACTTCCTGGAGCGGGAACACAAGTGTCTGCGCGCCAACGTGGATCTGGATCACGCCACGCTGGTCCGCTTCAGCCCCGACTCCAGGTCTCCACCTCTCTCTCCTATTGTACTAGAGCAGACCCTCATATATAGATATATATACCCCTAAACAACTCTAAATAATAAAAAAACTATAAGTAAGTAACATTTATTTATAAACGCGCTTTTCACAGACATAGTCACAAAGTGCTTAACAAAGCATTAAAACAAGTGCTAAAAACACAATAGAGAGCCTAAGTCCCACCCATGGGACCTTATTTCGGAAAAAATATGTACTGTAGTCAATGGCGAGAGAGAAATTATTTTTCGATCCTGTTTGAATTGTGCCATGAATTACACATATGATGTTTGTCAATTTAAAAGATAATTTTGCAAGTCAAAAAAATAAAAGTTTGTCGTAAAACTGTGAAGTAACACTTAGTTTTGTGTGAAACCGCTCAATTAACTACATTTCTGGTCTGGCACAATACACGTCACCAACACCAGAATGAGGTGAAAAGTATTAAAGGAGGTGGAAATCATTACACATCTGGGCATGTTGAGAGCTGCTATTACACAAAAGTGGAGTTAGTCGGTTCCGTAAGAGCCAGCATGCGGGAACGGTGTAATGTGTGTAAGGTTTAAAAAATAGTACTGGTTCCTCTTGAGGTGATTTTTGGACGCAGGCTCATACTAATGCACACCTTTCTCCTACAGGGCATTTATCACCTGGCTGGCTAATGGAGACACCATTAGAATATTCAAAATGACCAAAAAGGAGGACGGCACTATGAACTTCAAAGCTGCTCCGGAGGACTTCCCACAGAAACACAAGGCTCCCATCCTAAACATCGGCATTGCAGAGACAGGTACATATAAAACGTCTTAAAGTCATGTTTGGATTTGTAGATACTGTTTGTATTATTATTGTATGTTTAAACTTAATTGAGGTTTTTTTATTTGCACTATGACCTGAAAACAAGCGAGCTAAACAACCAAAAAGAGACACAGAGGACTTCAGAGACACAAATCTATTGTAAAATGACTCAAAAGTGACGCAACCCTCATACAAGTGTTGATAATTGGTACCCAGACTAGTTTACTGTGATTATGAATGAATGCAAGTTAACGTCTAAAAACAAAAATCCCAAAGTGACAACAGTTAAAGCACTTGAATCCTCTAGTTTGTCATCAGATACAAATACTAAGTAATGCCAGGATGAACTGATTCAGTGTTTCATCTCTGCAGGAAAGTTCATCATGAGCGCCTACACGGACACCACCATCCACATCTGGGACCTGAAGGGGGAGATCCTGGCCTCCCTGAACACCAACCAGATGACCAACTCTTACGCTGCCGTCTCCCCCTGCGGCCGGTCAGTCTCTCCTCCCTCGCTGGAAACATTTCACTTAGAACATTGAATAGGGATCCCTCAGATTCACATCGCGCAGAAAACACATTAACCCCCTTTGCAGGTTATTATGTTTAATTGTCTTCCAACATATTAACCCTAGTGAAGAATTGTTTGATTTTATTTTTGTGTATAGCAGTTTACAGCGGCGGACTAAAAATCAGCCCGGGACTCTCGACCGGCCCACTTCGGTACCGCCGGCCCACCTCGGTACCGCAAGTAAATGCCGCTAGTAAATGCCGCTAGTAAATTGTCAACGGGGGGGGTGCTAGTTATCCGACCGGCCCACCTCGGTACCGCAAGTAAATACCGCTAGTAAATTGTCAACGGGGGGGGGGTGCTAGTTATCCAACCGGCCCACCTCGGTACCGCAAGTAAATACCGCTGGTAAAAGGTCGACGGGGGGGGGGGGTGCTAGTGACTTATCCGACCGGCCCACATCGTCCGACCGGCCCACTTCAGTACCGGCCCATCAGGATTCGTCCCGAACGTCCCGATGGCCAGTCCGCCACTGCTACTTCCACAATGAAAGTCATCACCTATGTATATAATGTAATATGTGTGTTTTGTCCATCTCCCAGGTTCGTAGCCTCATGTGGTTTCACTACTGACGTCAAGGTGTGGGAGGTTTGCTTCGGGAAGGGAGGAGAGTTTAAAGAAGTCGCACGAGCTTTCGACCTGAAGGGCCACTCTGCAGGAGTTCATGCTTTCGCCTTTTCCAATGACTCTCACAAGTAAGGAGGCTTTGCTGATAATTGTTTTCTGAACCCATTTCTTGTTGGATGAAAAGATTGATACCACTCTCGTATGAATGCTAAACATGACAAGAAAGTCGAGATTATGTCATGAGACCACATATCATGTTAGATTTTATATCATTTTACAATATGTCAAAAGTAGTGTCTTTCCCTGGTTTTAAAGGCAGTAAAATCAAGTTTTCTGAAACAACCACATTGTTCTGTACTTAGTCATTTGATCTACACATTACTGAGATATTTTATAAAAGCACAAATGGAGAAATCGATGTCAAGATATTTAGTCACATATATTGTATTGTTTTTTTTCTTTCTCCATATCGCCCGAGCGTAGCATTACGTTTAGAAACATAGCCTGGCTCTGTCTAAACAACAACAATGCATCTCCTAGCAACATTAAACATTTTTCATTAATGATTTCACACATTATTTTTTGTAAAGATGGAAATAAGAGAGCTTCAGAGAATCTCTATCCTCAGCATCTTCTCAGTTTAAATATGCAACATGTTTCTTTCCACTTTTTAGAATGGTGACTGTCTCCAAAGACGGCACGTGGAAGCTGTGGAATACAAATGTTGAGTACAAGAAGCAGCAGGACCCCTACCTCCTGAAAACGGTCCCCTGTTCGTCCTCTGAAGGCACTCTGGCGGCGCTGTCTCCGGACGGCCGGGTGGTCGCCATCAGTGACGGCTGCAACGTGGCCATGTTCAACGCCACCACCGGCCAGCTGGAGGAGGAGCTGCACGGCGTCCACAGCGAGGAGATCAACGACCTCAGGTTTGATGTAACCGGACGATTCTTGGCTTGTAGCGGCGACAAAGCCATCCGAGTGTTTCACAACGCCCCCGGCTACCGGGCGGCCATCAGAGACATGCAGGACATGCTGAAGAAGGCCCAGAACGAGGCCATGAAGCAGAGACTGCAGCAGCAGATCTCAGAGGCTCAGAGAGCGCTGGACACTGTGCTCGCTGCTCCCAACGAGTGAACGGGAGGAAACACTGTAATGAAGTCTTAAAGTCTGACTCTTGATGCTAATTTTTTTTTTGCAACTTCAAATCTCCCTCCGCCAATAAATGCTTTGGCCCGGGAATGAAAGAATGTGCATGTAGTTTTAATAAAGAACATCTTTTTATGGAAAAGGGAAATGCTCTGATCTTTTTGTCCAGTTTAAGTGTGATCCTCTGCTGCAACAATTTAAAGTCTTCCTCCTTTAAAAATATGTTTTGCTTGTTGTTCTTTCACTCAGAGGTATGATTTTGTTTTTGCAGAATGATGTTTGTGCATGTACATGTTACATCACAAATAGTGTGGGAGCCCTCTACGGTCCAGTGTGAAACTTTTTGGAAAGAGATGAGATTACTTTAATTTAGATTTGTTTTTATTGAGAAAGCATTTAAATGTACAAGCATTTCAGACATGTCTTGAAAAACTCAGCATAATCATTTTTAAATAAAATCATAGAAATAATAATGAGTAAAAATATGTAATTTATTAAAATCCATAGATTAAATAAGTAAGCATAATTCCCAAAAAAGAGCTTTCTTTATAATACGTTTGACATTTGTATCACTTATTTTAGAATTTAAAAGTGTAATAGTCCTGATATTTTTTTTTTTTACGTTATTGTATCATTAATACTTTATTTATTTTCAACATATTCGACACTGTCCATTTTGTAACACTTCTGTTGTTTTTTCCAATAAAGCTTTTTTCAAAAGTGAAAAAAAAAGCGTTTGACCCGGAAGTAGAATCCGCCGATTTCCACACGTGTTTCCTCCTCTCAGCAGCAGCATGTACTGAGAGACCACAGAGGGAAATGTCTGTAGAGATGGTCGAGCTCTCCGTGAAAACAGCGGAGCCGGTGCGCCCGGCCGGAGTCCTGCAGCAGAACCGGGTCTTCCTCGACTTCTTCTGGGACATCGCCAAGCCCGAGCAGGAGGTCCGGCTGAAGGCCGTGGAAGACCTGATCCAGTACCTGAAGAAAAGCGACCAGGTGAGGGGAGATCTGACACACACACACAAACACACAGCGTGGACACACTGCGAAGTAACGGAACTAGTTAGTGGTTTATGGCATTTAACACTTGTAACGTCAGTAGTGGTGGAAGAAATACATCATTAATGTACTACAATAAAAGTAGTAGTGATGTAACTATAATGTCAAGCATATTCTGTTATGAGCAAAGACTGCATGTGCTGTATAGGGTGACAAATCCAAGTACTGCATTCAAATCAAACTGCAGTGAAAGCGTCAGGAATATATCAAAAATAAACTTAAAGTACCAAAAATAAAAGTATGTATATGTAATTAAAACGTAATCAATCAAAGTGTATTTATATAGCCCAATACCACACATTTTACCATTGTCTCAGTGGACTTCACAGTTTTTATAGAATACAAATACGACACCCTCACATTGGATAAGGAAACACTTCCAAAGAAACCCTCCACAGTTAATGGGGAAACATTGAGGACATCTCGGTGAAAGCAACAGAGGAGGGTCCCTCTCCCAGGACGGACAGACGTGCAATAAGTGTTGTGTGTAAATTAAAAAGATAATACATTAACAACATAGGAAGTCCAAATGCTTGAGAATGCATGTGTCTATAAATAAGAGGAAGATGAATCCAGGTGGATATCAACAATCCTGTGGGTGCCATCAAAGAAGTAGTAAAGTGAACATCAGGCAGGACCACGACTAGTGATCGTGTTAATTGTACAATATTTTGGTTGATACTCTAACTAGGTACTGCTTGCATCATCTGTGTGTGTGTGTGTTTCAGGCAGATGAATTGGACTACACATTTAAAAGGCTGGTGGACGGACTGGCTCACACTCGAGAGGCAGCGAGGCCCGGCTTCAGCCTGGCTCTGGGACAGGTGAGACAACCTCAGAAACATTTCTAAAACACACACACAAGTTTGTAAATAGAATTGTATTTCAGGCTCTCTTGTACTTGTGAATATCAGAAATGTGACTATGGCTGAGCGGTATGACTAAAAACTCATATCATGGCCCTCATGAGTCTTTTGTGGTGAAGGAATCAGAATGCATGAAACGACTGCAAAATGAAAACTATTTTATTGTGCAAACTTTGCGTACCACATAACAACAAAAGTTGCATAGTGCACATTCAAATACTTTTCTTATGATTTAATAAGGGACTCCTTTCTCTCGAGCGCCCTACGCCACATTTTAAACGTTATTGCGGTATGTGAAATATGTATATTATACGGAATAAAGTTCAAGGTATTCGATATGAGACGATTTAAAGCCGAGCACTACATGTGACACAATATATTTACCAACTCAGAACACCGTTTTAAGATGCGTCAATTGATTAACCACACACACTGGAGTAGACAGTTTAGTCATTTAGTTTTAATGAAGTAAAAATAGTTTTCCAGTTGAGTTTCTGAATAGGGATGTGTGTGGGTCATGGCGTTAATGAATTGTGAAGCTTTGGAAACTGAGCTCCAGTAGCAGCGGGTAGAACATAATGAACGTTGTTGGCTTTATTATAACATGAGTTTCTGTTCCCTCAGGTCCTGAGTGCCTTTGAAGATGTTTCTCTACAGACTGTACTCGACAGAATCAAAGAAAAGCACAATTTGCAGACCGTGAAAAAAGTGAGTGTATTTTTCATGTTTTCTTTCTGTTGGCTCCAAAAGTTTCATAACTAAACGTTGACTTTTTTATCTTGTTTGTTTATTTTAGAAACTTTTTAGAAATGCTATGTTTGGGAACTTGTTTGGCGTCCTCGCCATTCATCAGTCCAGCCGCCTCCCTAAAGTAAGTAGTCTCACCACAAAGTACTTTTCCGAATAGGTTGAGATATAAATGGAAACAAACATGTTTTTTGGAACAAAATGAGCAATGAATGGTTGTGTGTGTGTGTGTGTGTGTGTGTGTGTGTGTGTGTGTGTAGGAGCCCCAGGTGGTGTTGGGGTGTGTGAAGCTGCTGCAGAGTCTCAGTCAGCGCAAACAGCACCTGAAGGAACTGCCGACTAAAACCATGATGGACATCCTCAACGAGGTAAACGCTCACAGCTCTACACTAATATAGGGGGGTCTTATCTAATACAGACACATAGGTCATTTACACGTTTTATCTTACTTGAATTCAACTTGTCAGTGTGCCATATCTTCAGGGGAATGGACTTAAAAAAAGAAGTACAAAATAAGATGATCATTTATTTGAGCAGAAGTCATTATGAACAACACATTTACATTTTTTCTGCATTTGTTAAACCAACAACACAAAAGTTTAAACTCCTTTTGTGTTGTTTTTTTCTATCCCTTTAAATGCATCTTGTTGTTTCTTTTTTGTATTATGTGTATATTATTTGTATGCATGTATAACAAATATTTGTATTGTAAAGTTTCTTTGAATACTTATATAAAAGCTTTATAGAAGTTAAACATAATTTCTCCCTGCTGATTGGCTGCCTCAGATCCCAGAGGATGTGTTTGAGGAGGTGCTGCTGAGCGCGCTGCAGACGGAGCTGGAGGCGGCGTTCAGCACCCCGGAGCAGCTGCAGCTGCTGCTGGTTGCTCTGAGGCGTTTCCCCCAGACCCTGAAACCCAAGAAACTGAAGAAGCTGCTGGGCTGCTCCACCATCATCAACGCTGACAACATCCCCAAGTGAGAGGAGTGGGGGCTTTTTAATTTAATTTAACGGTCACCTATTGTGCAAAATCCACTTTTTCATGTCTCTTCTACATCAACATGTGTCCCCTCTTCTTCATGTCTCTTCTACATCAACATGTGTCCCCTCTTCTTCATGTCTCTTCTACATCAACATGTGTCCCCTCTTCTTCATGTCTCTTCTACATCAACATGTGTCCCCTCTTCTTCATGTCTCTTCTACATCAGCATGTGTGTCCCCCTCTGTGAAAAGAGACTCTGAAAGTTTCAGGAAAAAAGATTCTCTTTTTTTGTCCTAATCCATTTATATAAAAACCTTTTGGCCACTTTATGATGTCATAGCAATTGGCTTGTGTAACCATTAGCCAATCACCAACCAAGGTAACCCCCCCCCCCTGAATCTCCTCCTAGAGCACTATTGTGTTCTTTGTAACCAAATATCTCTCAGAGGGGCGTGGGGAGTGGCTCCTTATTTTCATCTAAAGTAACAGACAGAGAATCAGAACTTTTGAAACAGGGCTGAAACAGAGGCGATTATGGGATGCTGCAATGATCTGTTTGGTGTTTCAGCCAATCAGAGACAGGCTCTGTATATATCTGAGACCTGTAATATATTGATGAAAAACAGTATAATAGGGAACCTTTAATTAATCAAGATTTCCCTAAACCAAAGTATATCTACTTCACCTGCTGTTTATGATCGTGTAATAGGGCTTAAAAATAAATGAAATGTGGAGCCATGGGAGGGGGGGATATTCACAGAAAAATGTAGTAAAAAATGTAAAAGGACCTTTTGTGACTTTATATAATGTCAGATAATATCAAGTTGTTTCTCGTTAATGTGAGTTTTTATTCTCATATCTTTACTTAAATGTTGGAAAAAACCCACATCTACAGAATGTATTTTTTTTAAACCTTTTTAAAGAGAATGGTCCTAATACTCGTATCTAGCTATATATATATATATCTATATATATATATATATATATATATACCAATATACCAGCTGCAGTGAGGTGGATCTAATGCCTCGCGGTGATGCCCTGCAGGTTGCTGGACGTGTTAAAGATGGCGGCGCGCTCGGTGAAGAAGGAGTGCGTCCTCCCCTCCGTGGTGCTGGACCTCCTGAAGCTTTCTCTGAAGGAGGACAGCTTCCAGCTCTTCTGGGACAACGCCATCATCAACGGCATGTTGAAGGAGCCGGCAGGCCCCGCGCAGTGAGTACACGGGGGGGGGGGGGGGGGCGGGGGCATCTTAGAGGTGGGGGTGGAAACTTCTGAAGCAATGGAGACTCAGAGAGACACGAGGAGAGCAGGAACTTTGATGGCAAACACTGATGGTTTATTTGGAGCTTCGGCCGGAGAATTCACAAGACATGCTCTGAGCCACGAGGTGTCACAGGGGATGCCAAACCAATTCTGAAGATCTCTCCCCCAGACCCCTAGCTGGTTCTGAGAGAATAATCAACATTGTGCATAACAAGATAAAACACTATAACACCTCTATCGGGACGGCGGCATGGAGGGAGGGGACGGCGGCATGGAGGGAGGGGACGGCATGGAGGGAGGGCAACAAGGGGCTGAGAGACAATGAGCCTCATTCACCAATATCTTACATATTTGTATTTAATGTGGTGTTGAAGGTCAGATTCATGACGTTGTCTTAAACTGCAGAACTGTTCCTACCTGTGTTCTTAGGATGAACCCTATCCTAAGTTTTTCTGTAGAAGTAGCCTTGTATTTGTACCTCGACCTGCAGCATGTGTTCCCTTTTTTAATATCTTTGTGTACTTTTGTGTTATTTGTATTGCATTTTATCTTTATCCTGTTTTACTCTCTGACCCGGTTGCTGTCTTTCCTCTCAGCTACCTGAGCTTCCGGCTGCTGGGCAGTGCGCTGCCTCTCCTGTCTGCAGAGCAGCTGCAGGAGGTGTTATCTGGAGAGGTGATGGTGCAGTACGGAGAGCACGTGGTGGCGGCTCAGGTCAGTCGTCTACCTGCACAATATAGCACTTTTACTTTAACGTCTTCATGCGAGATAAACACGATTGCCTCATTGCACAATAGGTTAGTTGAAAAAAAGTAGAAAACTGCAGTTTATTAGGTAACACTGATTTGCTTTATTTTATTTGTGCCTTTAACTTCAATTTAAATGAATCTTTAAAATACTTTTCTTACATTTTTATGAAAATCAACAAGCAATTTGTTGATTTAAGCAGTGTACTGAAAGCAGTAGAAAGGCAGAACAGGGTCAACTTACATATCTGTTAATCAAGTAATATCGTGATCCTATATATATTTTTTTTTAAAGCATTCCCTTTACCGGATGTCTTTATATGTGAAAAATAGCTTTGTAGATTATAGCTTGAAATTGATCAGAAGTACTTAGGCGCTTTCACACCGGAGTACTTTTCCCAGTATAGTTCCGATAGTTCTTGAAATTTGCGTTCATACCAAAAAAATCCGGAACTAGAACCTTTCCCCCCCCTTTTCCGTCCCTGCTAGAGAGCAGGTACTTTCATGGGAGAAAAAGGTTCCTATGTCTGATTGGCTGGGCGGATTGCAAACCACGCCCCGTAAAACTCCCAAAAAGTTTTGTGAAGCCGCCATTTTATTTTCCTCACATTAGCATTATTAGCATCAGCTTTAGCCCAGCGCACAAACGCAGAGAGACTAACTGATGGCAACACAAAAGAAAACATGGGAGCGGTGGAGATGAGGAGGTGTCGGCATTCTGGCAATTTACTCTGAAGGCTTCAGTAGAAGCTGCTGGGAGTCCCAGCAGCTTCTACTGAAGCCAGTCCCCAACTCCGGGGACTTCGGGTGTCAGTATACGCCGTGAAGTTGTTTGCGGCCTGCCAGTAAACCCAAAGCAGAAGAAGAAGAAGTGACGTGCCTAATCCTCCCCCAGGGATTTATTCCGGTGTGAACGCGATCTGCTCTTTAGTTCATCAGAGCTAAGTACTGGGAACTAAGTACGGCAAAGTACTTGGTGTGAAAGCGCCTCTTGAAAGAGTACACGACTTTAATTAATTATTAAATATATCAATAATTGAAGTATAAATCCATTAATTCTGTTGAATAGAGGAACCCAGAGCAGCAAAGTGGTTAATGGGGAAACGCCAACTTTTAAACAATAAAATATAAACAGCTAATAAAATACAAACTTCCATTATTATTCTCTTACAGAAGCCGGACCGCTTCAAGCTGGCTCCGGAGATGGATGTGTTCGTGTCGGACTTCCTGCAGGAGTGTCAGGACGCAGACAAACAGCTGATCGTGATGGTGCGCTTCTCCGCGTTGACCAACAAGGGCTACCCGGTGGTGCCGTCGGTGTGGAGAGTGGTGCAGCACCTGCAGCCGGCCGCCGTGCAGCAGTACGTCGCCTGGCTGAAGAAAACCTTCCTGCAGCCGCAGATCGACAAACTGCTGGACTTCAGCACGCGCAAGCAGAAGGACAACCCGGCAGCCAAGGAACAGTGAGTTTCAAGATTCAAGGCTTTTATTGTCGGCTGCAGTGTAGATATGACAATGAAAAGCTTAGGTCACAGGCTCCTCCAACAGTGCAATCAGAATCAGTTAACGGCATATATATATTGCACATATAGCACATATTGCACATAGTTGGTTGGTATTTAACAGCAAGAACAACACAATAAAACAGATAGAATAGTTAAAATAGTGCAAGTAATACAAATCGAATAGAATAGTGCAATGAGAGTATATACAAGTAGTTGGAATATGATATATTAGATAAATCACTTGTAAGTTTCAAACGGATGAATGTTATGGATGTTCTTTCAAAAGTTCAGGTGTTTAACAGTCTTATGGCCCGTGGGATGAGACTGTGCTGGTGTCTGTCAGCAGGCCTACCCGTCTAGATGGAAATTGGGTGAATGTAATTGTTCATTTTTTCGTCCTCAGGAAGGATGACTCCGTCTTCCGCCTGAGGAAGTGGATTATCTCTCGGCTCTGTGCGATCATCGATAACCACCTGGTGAAGAAGTCTGAGGATCTGATCATGGACGTGGCCAGGTGAGCTGACTGAAGGTTTATTCTACATGTCAGCGTCTCAGTGTTTGTGTGAAGAGACAGCTGTCAGCCGGTGTCTAATTATTTTTGATCTTCCAGGTTTGTCTTCTTCCACGCGTTCTTCGGCACCAAGAAGGCCTCGGCCGACATCCCCGAGACGAAGGGGAAGCTGTCCGTCCCGCTGGACGATAAAATCAGAGCCGTGCTCGTCAACTCTTTCTTTGGGTGAGCATTAGTACACTGTATTCATTTGGAATAAAACAAAACAATTCTTTCATCATCAGCTTTTATTGAAGAGACTCAAGGTCCATTTTTAAAAGACATACAACACTCAAATATACATTTAAAAAAGGCAGTTATACCAATGTTTCCACAGAGGTGACTGGTATCGTACAGCACTGAGACACGGATTTCACTTGCACTGCACCACCTTTTCAAAGCAGTATATGCAAATAATCATTATAAGCAACCTGGAGCTTCTGGAGGCTCGCCTTCTTAAACTTGAGCCACAAGGGGGCAGTATAGAGTATAGTGTAGTATACAGAGGGGTACAATAAGCTCTCAAGAGGTTCCCCTTAACCTTATCTGAACACCAAGAGAATTTTCTTGCCAACATGTTAGCTTGTGTATATAAGACACGCCGCTGTCTACACATGTCATCATCATCAGCCATTTCCTCTGTGACGATGTGTCCCAGATACTTAGTATTAATAACAGTATTAATATAATTACACTACTGCATATATTGTAATATAAAATGTATTGTTATAAAATGTAGTACAACGTGTGCAGTTTAACACAATCTTCTCTATGTTTGTATAAATCTAAAATTGAGCAAGTGTTACAAAATCCCTGGGATAAAAGTTAAGGGTTTTGATTCTGATACACGGTACAGATTGTTTTAACAGAATAACATCTCTAAGGTGTGTAAAGCGACATTCATTTCAGTCAGGAAAATGTTGACATCCTCCGTAGCAAACCACAAATACAAAAGCGTGCATCGTAACCTCAGAGTTTTGATCAAAAGTTGTCATGCGTGTTTAGTGTCACTGCCTCCTCTCTGACTTCCTGTCTGCCCCCCCCCCAGCCTCCTCCTCTCCATGCACCACCTCCCTCTGGTGGAGGACTCTCCTGAAGGTGTAGCAGTGAGTCAGAAGCGTGCGCTCGGCGTCACGGCCGACGGCACCATGTGGATCTACCACCTGGTGCAGTACGCCCAGAGCCTGCTGAGTCAGCCCAAACACGCCCAGAGCAGCCAGCCCTTCAGCCCCGAGCAGAGCCAGGCCTGGGACAGGTGGGCTTTTGTATATTCACGTATCTGTTTGATGGGTGATACTAAACGAGATAGAATATGTTTCACACCCTGGCTCTACATGTGTGTTTTCGTGCAGCATGCTGGAGTCTGTGGCCAACCTGAAGAAGAAAGCAAAGAAAGGTCCGTCAGCAGAGAGCAGCGCCTTCCAGCAGCTCTTCCTGTTGGTCGGCATGCACCTGTTCAAGGTACTGCACGCCACCAGAGACTTTGTTATAGTAGAATACTGTTGTTATTGCAGCCATTATAATGATCTAATCTCTCCTGAAGGCCCCTGAAGAGCTGCTGGACATCATGAAGGACCTGCAGAGCTGCATGGACAAAGCTCAGGAGAAGAAGGCCAAGAAGAAGAAGAAAGAAGGTGATGCCTCCTACATGCTGCACTTAGTATTTTAACAGTCAATGAAATAACAGTGTGTGTGTGTGTCCCCACCTACCTATGCAACTTCCCCTCAGCTCTGTAGAGCGCTATAACATCTTTTAACTTAAGTTTTACGGCTCCATGCTTTACTGTTCACGAGCATTAATACCGCTAGCTTGTTTCCAGACATGTCAGTTAGCCTCTTTCATCAAAAAATCTGACTTTCCAAAACCGGATCGGCATAAACCTGCAGACAGACCAAGTTAGCGACTAGTGTGGTAAACATTGTTGATCATTCAGAAGCGGATATTTCCCAAAAACAGAGCTTAAAGAAAAGGTAATATCTGACCTAAATATCGCTCCGTGTTTGCAGGATGTGTAAAAAGACAACTGTGTGCCCACGTGTTGGTAATTCCAACTTCAGAAGGATATAATGTGCAAGATGATTTGTCTATCCTGTGCCCCGAAGGGTCCAAAGAACATTTTACCAACAGTGCTTTAGTTTAAAGTGTATACGTGTGTGTGTCCAGCCGTGGAGCAGCAGGAGGAGGAGCCGGAGTGGGTGGAGGTGATGGTGGACATCCTGCTGTCTCTGCTGTCCCAGCCGAGCAGACACATCCGACAGGTCTGCAAGACGGTGTTCTCCTCCATCTGCCCCAACGTCACTGCTGCCGCCCTCACCGCCATCTTAGACGTGAGTAACACACACACACACACACACACACGTGCACACACACACACACACACTCAAAGTCCAGATTTAATTGTATTCAGTCCTGAGTGTTGCACTGGAAGTTGTTTATGAATGTATCGTAATGATGGTCGCTGTGCTGTGTGACGGTCCTAGACCCAGAGAGGGATGATGAGGAAGCACACACACACACACACGCACACAGTCAGTCCATTTCCCCTCTGTTTATGTCTTGAAAACCTGTTTTATTGTAATGATGGTCGCTGTGCGTAGGTCCTGGACCCAGAGAGGGATGGCGAGGACGACGCTGCTGTGGTCGTCACTGATGACAACAAAACCCAGAAGAAAAACTCAAACGAGGAAGATGACGAGGAAGACGAAGACATGGAGGTCAGTTCTTCTTTTGCTTATTCAACAACTTGTGCTGCGGCCTAGCTTTGCCACTACTCTTAAAGAAACTAGCATTACATCTAAAAACCACTTATCCTGCTAAAATCTAATTAGGAGAAAATTAAGATTTTAAATCCTGAAATGCGTTGTGTCCCCGCTAGAAGTCTGATGGATCAGATGATGACTCTGATGAAGGTGAAGATGATGAAGCAATGGAGGAGGACGACGCAGAGGACGATGAGGACGAAGAGGACGATGAAGAGGAAGTGGGGCCAGTGGACCAAAACTTCCGTATTAAGATGATGAAGATCCTGCAGAATCAGAATGCTATGGTGGGTTTTTAGGCATCTCCTTAGTGTACAAACATTAGCTTCATGTAGCTTAGCCCCAGTGTAAACCTGGAACATGTGTGTCAAGCATCACAAGAAGCTTTATTTTATTTTTGTTTGTAGGTCTTCACAGTGCATTTGTTGTTTTCAGCACTGTATGAGGTGGCCATCATATTTAAATATTGTCTTTAAATACTCTCTCCCTTTTGTCTATACCAGTTTTACCTTTTAATTACAAGTTCCATTATATATTTAATGTGGATTCAGAACAACCCTACCCTCTACTACACCTAATAGACAGTTGTAAATTGTGACACTGCTAGATAAAGTTCATATTGTGTGTCAGATCTCAGCTCACGTTGTATCTTGCGTTGTATTTTATTTTCAGACCACAGCAGGGACAGAGGGGGACGGCAGCAGTGATGAAGAAATGGACGATGACGCCATGTTGCAGCTGGATAAAGGTCTGGCGGAGCTTTTCTCAGAGCAGAAGAAAAGAGCCCAGGCCAAGAAGGATGAAAAGACCAAAATGCAAAAAGAGAAATCGCTTGTCCGAGACTTTAAGATCAAGGTACAGTAACCCAAGACCTGTTAACACTTTGGAAAATAAACCAATGAATTGAGTATTTTGATCTGGGTATAAAAGATATACATGTAAAAAATAGGTTTCACCCGAGAGATAGTTTCCACTTTGGAAGATATACTTTCTTCTAGCAGACAGAACCTGTAAAACAGGGAAACTGCTAGCTCAGCTCCGTTAAAAGTCAAACATAAAATGTATCCCTGAATCTCCCCTCTTCTGTGTCTTGTTGCAGGTCCTGGATCTGCTGGAGGTGTTTGTGGCGCGGCAGGCCGGCAGTCCTCTGGTTCTGGGTCTGGTGGAGCCGCTGCTCACCATCATCGACCGAGGGATGAGTTCTGACAGCGACCAGCAGGAGCAGGACTTCCTCCGCAGAGCCGCAGATATCTTCAGGTAACACAGAGGGGTTCATAGAAACTGTGTTTGTTACTGAGTCCATTTAGTTTTTCATTTTTTTACCTAACATGATTTGTGTTGAGCATGATTCTATATGTGGTTTGAAAAACACATTCGGTGCTTTCACACGAAGTACTTTGCCGTACTTAGTTCATCAGAACTAAAGAGTTCTGATGAACTAAGTACAGATCGCGTTCATACCGGAATAAGTCCATGGGGAAGGATTAGGCAAATGAAGCCGCTGACGTCACTTCTTCTTCTTCTGCTTTGGGTTTACTGGCAGGCCGCAAACAACTTCACGGCGTATACTGCCACCCGAAGTCCCCGGAGTTGGGGACTGGCTTCAGTAGAAGCTGCTGGGACTCCCAGCAGCTTCTACTGAAGCATTCCGAGTAAATCGCCAGAACGCCGACACCTCCTCATCTCCACCGCTCCCACGTTTTCTTTTGTGTTGCCATAAGTTAGTCTCTCTGCGTTTGTGCGCTAGGCTAATGCTAATGCTAATGCGAGGATAATAAAATGGCGGCTTCACAAAACTTTTTGGGAGTTTTACGGGGCGTGGTTTGCAATCCGCCCAGCCAATCAGACATAGGACCTTTTTCTCCCACGAAAGTACCTGCTCTCTAGCAGGGACGGAAAAGGGGGGGGGAAAGGTTCTAGTTCCGGATTTCTTTGGTGTGAACGCACATTTTCTGAACTATATCGGAACTATACTGGGAAAAGTACTAGTATTTTGTTGTGTTTCATGATCTACTCGTACTGGGATGTCCCCTGCTCATATTTTACACATAACATTAGATGAAAAAAACAAACAGATAATAAGCAAAGCTGCAAAGCCCTCATCTCTGGAGTTATATTTAAATAAAATCCAATGGTGCCACAGCGAGGGTTTCAAACCATTAGTTCTTTTTTTATTTAGTGATATAGGAGTTACAAGACAAGTGCATACAAGTACAGTGTCACATATACACAGAAGACAGTAAGGTGCATTTACAAGTAAAGACAAATAACAAATGACAAAATATACACGGAGACTAACAAAACTAAAAACTGTGTGCGTTTGAGGGATTAGACAAAGAGAGTAATAAATGACTAAATTAAAATTATACGAGTAACAATATAATAGTCATGTATCCTAGGCATGTAAATAGTAGCAGGACCTTAAAGACCTTAAAGGAGTAGAGAGGAGAAACCATTAGTTCTTTATTTTGTAAGATGTCTCATCCACTGATTCTCACCGAGTGAATGCATGTCTTTCAGGAACCAGCTGTGCAGGTCGAAGGTTTACTGCAAGACTGTCGGAGACAGAGAGGGGGAGCTGCACGACCTGCTGGAGAAACTGATGACAAAGAGCCAGAAGCTGTCCGACTCCTCCGTCTGCCTCTACTACTTCAGGTACTCAAGGTTTCAATGACTGGGCTGAGGGGAATAGATGTTACTTAAGTCAGTTGATGCCATGTTAGCAAAAGAACATGATGTCTGAACATTCTAGTAATAAAATATGTGGATTAGGGAAGTATAGAAATACATGATTGTGAGATGCATTTTAAATCAATATAAGGATTTGTAAATGTTCGGTAACACTTTATATTAAGGTACACAAATTAACCATCAACTAGTTGTTAATTAACATGCATGTTAGCAGTATATTGGCTTTTTATTAGTCATTATAAAACACTTATTAATGCCTTATTCTACATGACCATATTCTCCCAGTACTAGGTCATTAGTTAAGAGTTTGTCCTCAATAACCCTCTAATTAGTGCTTGTTTATTGTACGTAAGGAAGTTGTTGTACATGAGTTTGGGTCTTAATAAGCTCAATATGGGCATACTGAGGCATTCTCTCATAACTCCTAACAAATATGATCCATTCTTATGTAACAAGGTATGAAACTACAAGTGTTAATTGTGTCAAAATGTGGTATTTCTAACTCAGAATATGTTCCCTATTTTAAAGTGAAGTCTTGTTCATAACCAATAAGCTAGTAGTTTGACTCTAATATGTTAATGAACAACTAGTTGATGGTGAATATGTGTACCTTAATCTAAAGTGTTATCAAATGTTCTTTTGTGTATTATTTTTGTGCCGCTTTAGTATTTGAAAACACTACACATGTTTTGATTTCTTAATATTAACTCCTCATCCGTGTTATTCTGAGTTTACGGCTGCATCACACCGTCCTCATGAGCAGGATGGTGTTGTGTCATAGACCTTTTTTAGCGGTTTCATCTTTGAGTTGTTACGGGACATCTACATAGACCTTAGAAGTGAAGAACTAAATATCAGGTCATAGTTCCAGTCTCCTGTAGTTTGCTGATGTCTATCTGTCCCTGCAGTGCGTCTCTGTACGTGGTGAAGGTGCTGCGAGGAGCTCCAGCTGCTGAAGCCAAAGAGGAGGCGACGGCTGACGGAGCTGCAGGAAGTGACGTACGTTTACACAGATTCATTTGATTTAGTTCAGTAAGGCTCGATGTCACTCGTAAACACCTTCCTGAGGTCGGTTCTGCGGGGTTTAGATCACTCGCCAATAGTTGCAACTGTGAAAATTACATGTTTTTCATATTATGTCCAGCTGGAAAAATCAGTGTCCTTCCCTGAATTGTATTGAGTCAGGAAGTCACCGATAGCCTCTATTATCCAGAGAGTCTTCCTCACTCATTTAAAGGGGACCTATCATGCAAAATGCACTTTTGTACGTCTTTTATACATGAATATGTGTCCCCGGTGTTCCAGGGAACTCACCAAGTGTCAGAAAACACAACCCTCTCTATTTTCCTCCATACCCAAATCTCTAAAAAAGGGGCTGCAATGGATCTGATAAAAACTGATCCAGATTTGAACACTGTCCTGACGTCAGGACGGTGGCGCTACGGCTATTGGGCCAACTCCACCAATCAGGAGGAGACAGCCACGGCCATTGCCGTCCGAAAGCGCTGGAGACGCTGTAGTACATATGCCAGGCCTGTAGGTGGTGCTGTTCTCACATAATCAGCCCTTGCAAAAAGAGAGCTAACATTTTTCAAATTGAGCGAAATGAGGCATGGCTAAAATGCATGATCTGTTTGGTATTTTGAAAAAAATAAATATGCCTTGTATAGGTATGGTCCTACACTATATTATTCAAATATAGCATGATAGGTCCACTTTAAGTAATGATTTTAGTTTCAGTGTCTTAAATGTGATCATGTACTGGTTTCTGTAATAGTGAATTGGAATTCGTACAAAATGAGACATTTGAAGATGTTGGTTTTTGGGAAACTCAATAGTGATTGTTGGGGAGAAAGTGTTTTTTTTTTACTAATACTAAATATTAGATAACAACAGAACTAAGCCTACATTGTGCACAGCGCCCATAAACTGCACATTCATCTCACTCCTGATGTTTTTCTGCTCCTTCATGGTGTGTGTTTGTGTGTAGTTGAAGTTCATGGGCAGCCTGGATGTGGACCGGGTCTCCAAGATCTTCATAGAAGCTCTGAACTCCTTCATGGGCCGCAGGAAGAGCCCGCTCAGCGCTCAGATGTTCACAGATCTGTTCACCAGATTCCCCGTGAGTACAGCGGCACATCAGAGTTTATTTCTTCTTTCTAAGCTGTTCTGTTGGCTAATGCTTCAAGTGTGAATGTATACAAAATCTATGTACAGACAACTTGTAATTGTAACAGAACACATTTTTAAAGTTACCTTATGTGATATTTCCAGGGTTTGTGTGTGAAGATGTTGGATGCCGCCGTGCAGCACATCAACTCGGGGGTCAGAGTGCACCAGCAGGTAAGAGAGATGTTCTTTTAAAGGTCACCTATTATGCAAAGTCCACTTCTTCACATCTCTTCTACATCAACATGTGTCCCCTCTGTGGAAAGAGACTCTGAAAGTTTCAGGAACAAAGATTCTCTCTCTTTTTGTCCTGATCCATTTATATAAAAACCTGTCTGAAAATGAGCTGATCAGATTTTGGCCACTTTATGATGTCATAACGATGTTTTGTCTTGTGTAACCATTAGCCAATCACAAACCAAGGTAACCCCCCCCCCCCCCCCCCCACCTTATCACCTAAATCTCCTCCTAGAGCACCATTGTGTTCTTTTTAACCAAATATCTCTCAGAGGGGCGTGGGGAGGGGCTCCTTATTTTTCATCTAAAGTAACAGACAGAGAATCAGCACTTTTGAAACAGGGCTGAAACAGAGGGGGTTATGGGATGCTGCAATGATCTGTTTGGTGTTTCAGCCAATCAGAGACAGGCTCTGGATATATCTGAGACCTGTGATATATTGATGAAAAACAGTATAATAGGGGACCTTTAAGTAAAGCTCTTTGTTCATGTGTACGTTCCTGTTGATGCATGCTTAGGTAACATTAAGCTGTCTTTGGCTCTTTTCTGCTGTAACAATGTACATTTCCCCTCTGGGACTAATATAGGTTTTCTGATTCTGATTCTGATGGACGTTATTGTGTGTGTGTGTGTTCAGGGCCAGGCGTGTGTGTTGGTGCTGCGGGCGATGCAGAGCCGGGAGGTCCAGCAGCTGCTGAGCGGCGCTGCGTGGACCGAGCTCTGTGGGCAGGTCTCAGGTCAGCTGACAGCGGTAGGTCAACACAACTTTTTTTTTTGTAAACTTTTTAAAACTTTTTTTTAAACAACACATACAGCGTCAAGACAAAAAAATACAGGTGTGCAGGTTGTCTTTTTTTTTTATCCCTCCCCCCACCCCACAGAATAAGACGAGATTAATAGTACAAAAACATTTAAAATGATAAGTATAAGTAATAATCACAGGCATGAGCTGCATGTATGAACACTGGGATGACTTAAAGCAAAAGTTCGCTAAAGGAAGTGGTATATTGTTCTTAGATCGCAGCTATGGGATGTTGTCTGGCACTATATAGTCAATAAAAAATGTTCCTGGGGCTGTAACTACACGTCATTTATTCTCTAGAAGACGACACGTTTCTACAACAACATCCTTTAATTATATGTCTCGAAGGTTTATGAAATTGCATCTTGCTCTGATGAATGATGATTAGAGCCACACTGACTGCCCTCTGTGTGTCCTCAAGATGGCTGATGGGGAAACACTCATTATAACATTTGTCACAAAAAACACTCGGCCCCTGCATTGTGCCGTCTTTGTAGTCCGAGCAAAAACAAACCCGCAAAACATCATCAGTCCGAATAGTTTTTTACATTAAACCCTCCCTTATGAACTCGGAGACACTTACTTATATTATTATCTGGACAGCATTGACTGTATGAAGATATATATGTAATGCCAGCAGTGTAACCTGAGTGTCTTCTGCTCTCAGAGTCTGGAGAAGGTCGGGGAGACTGAGAGCAAAGTGGTGAAGGAGAAGGTGGTGAAGACCCTGGAGCTCTGTCAGTTCCTGGTGAAGAACGTCAAACAGCAGGTATGTGTTGGCTGCAGGTGTGAGGGGGGGGTTCAATGTGTTGAAGTGTTTCTTCTGAAGACCAGAGGTGGGAAGTAGTGTAGTACAAATACTTTGTTACTGTACTTAAGTACATTTTTCTGGTATCAGTACTTTACTCCACTACTTAGTGATCTGACGACTTTTTACTTTGACTTCTTACATTTTGAACACAAATACCTGTACTTTCTACTTCTTACATGTTGAACACAAATACCTGTACTTTCTACTTCTTACATGTTGAACACAGATACCTGTACTTTCTACTTCTTACATGTTGAACACAGATACCTGTACTTTCTACTTCTTACATTTTGAACACAAATACCTGTACTTTCTACTTCTTACATTTTGAACACAGACACCTGTACTTTCTACTTCTTACATGTTGAACACAAATACCTGAACTTTCTACTTCTTACATGTTGAACACAAATACCTGAACTTTCTACTTCTTACATTTTCCAAACTGGTTCCTTTAGTTTGAATGTGTGTTTGGTGGCGTGATCATTATTATTTAGAGTCATTGCGTGCCTATTGATTTGAACACGATCTGTGTATCCATAATTTCCTGGTCTTCTCTAAAGAAGAGGGACCAATGAAAACGTTGCCGTTGTTCAGCATGGAAACATTCATTAGCTAACAATGACATTATTGTTCTATTAATATAAAGGGAGGTCAGTTACTCTTTAAAACAGCTGCTAGTTATGGGTACTTTTTACTTAAGTACATTTAGAAGCCCATACTTATTTACTTTTACTTGAGTAAAGAAGTTTAGTCGGTACTTCTACTTTTACCAGAGTATTTTTAAACACGAGTATCTGTACTTCTACTTGAGTAAAGGATGTGTGTACTTCTCTGCTGAAGACTAAAGGCTCTGCTCCTCATGTGTAGAAGCTGTCAGTGGACCTGGAGCCTCTGCAGACCGTCCTGCAGTCTCTGACCAGCTCCATCGCGTTCAAGAAGACTGGAAAGCTGGAGGACACGTACTGGGCCGTGGTGAAGCACTTTGGAGTCATGTGAGTTATTGTGTCAGCGTCTCAAGAGAGAGGTCATTCTCATGCAGCTACTCGCATGCATATTAGAAACCAGTATAGAGGGGAACAAACCATGTTATGGAGGGTATAACCATATATAATGTTGACTTTGTCTCTGTGACATCAGTTCTCTAGAGCAGCGTGAAGTGGGCGACTGGAAGAGTGAATATCATTTCAATGGAGGAGCTGTATAAAAAAACACCCCCTGTTGTACAATTGGCTTTCCCTCTCCTGTAGTGTGTTATATAGGTTTCTGTTATTTATATAGAATCCCTGTGTTCCCTCCAGAATGAGTTTCTCTCCCCCTTGCCGAAACATTGGACTCCTTTGTTTACTTTGAGAAAATTAAAGAACCTTCTAAACATTCAAGCTTCACAGTAAAGGCACATAATACAAATATGAACCTGGAAATGAGCATCAGATGTCCTCTTTAAAAACCCAAACTAAGCTGTAAACAGGTTTATTTCTGCTGTAAAGTGGTGCTTTTTGACATGGAGATCGAGGGAGATTGCTCCCTTTGGGTCCAGCCTTAAGTCGTTATTTGATGAAGTTCAGGTTTTGGCACTTCCATCTCTGCGCCTCGGAGGTTGTCCCTTGGGTAAAAAAAAAGATTTCTGTAAAAGTCTACAAATACATGCTGCAAGTCACTGGCCTGATTTACCTCCTACCTCCCCTCATGAGTTAGTACTACTATAACTCACTTACCGTACCCTTCAAATCCACAGTTTGGCTCAGATCAAAATGTGTTTTTTGGCGTGAATTAGGAAAAACACTAAGCAACACTGATGTAGATTAACTATATAAATTCACTTCACATTAAGTTAATTAGGAGCATGATTGACTCTATTAGTTCACTTACTAATTGACCTGCAATCTAAGGTTCATTAGCAGCCATCTGCCACCTGAGATCTGAACAGGAAACTCTCCCGGTGGCAAGAACGGTGTTTGCTCTCTGTTTCAGAATAACGAATCATGACTGTAAAGATCCTCAACTGAACTTCAAATGCATAAGACATGACTGAAAGGTCTGCACACTGTGACAAATGCAGAAAATAAGCCTCACAATTTGCTCTCCGAGGAAGAGCTCGACCCTTAACATCTGTGCATAAAATCATATTTCTCGCATAATTCACAGTGTGCAAGCTCATTAAAACAAGTCAATTCAAAGTGCCTTACAACAAACACAAAAAGCATTACGAAATGGCAACTAAAAACATTACAAAATTGTATTTAAATGCATGCACGAGAATATAAATAAACACATGCTAAATATAGAAAAAGACTGGTTTAAATTAATAAATTAAAGGGCAGAATCAGAATTCCTTTAACCGTCCCACAGCGGGGAAATGTGAAGCGTTACAGCAGCAACAGTACAGATAAAAGGGAAAGCGTTTACTTGTATATAGCAGTATTTAAAAACGTATGGGATTCTAAAAACGTGTTGATGGAGTCTGTAACGTTAACAAAATGAACAACAATGTTAAAGTAATAAAAAGTTAATTGTATATAAGTGTATATTGCAAAAGAGCACTGGTATTGCACAGCAGGTTTTATATTTACAGGCAGTGTTATTGCACATCAGTGACAGTCTTTGTTGGGGTGGTGGTCTGCCAGGGAAAGATACATGCCGTGTAAGATAATATTTAGAAAACAGAAAAGTCTTCATCTTTGATTTGAACGTCGTTACCATGAAGTGTGTGTTGTTGCATTTACAAGACAGCTCTGTACTGAGGCCACAGTTTGTCCTTGGGTCTGAATTTTACAAGTCAAATGTCAGTTTGGGTTTTAATCAGACTTTGAATCTAATTATGCTGAATACACAGACGGGAGAACCTCTATGTGTAATGGCTTTTCCGCTCTGCTGTCAGAGCCGTTCTCCTCCTGTACGGACAGGCAGGATTGTTGTAGAAATAAGAAACCCAGTTACCGACTCACGGCCAGGAAATCGCACTTTACTGGGAGGAATCTAGCTCGGGGAATCGCGTATCTCTTACCTCCTTAACCCGATAACAAAAACCAGGTTTCCTGTTTAAATTGCGTTTAAGAAATCAGATTACTGCAGGAGTAAACTGATTACTTAAGTGCAGGTAAATGTTCCCACTGTCTCTATGTAACAGCAGCAGTACTGTACAGATTATGATCTGAACTAAAAACATGATGTATCCTCATCGTACAGCAGATTCTCCAGCATTACATATAATGTATTTTAAATCACTATCATTTACTCAAAAGGCCCTATTATAGTTTGGGGGGTTTTCCCTTTCCTGTAGTGTTATATAGGTTTTTAGTGCATGTTAATGGTCTGTATAGGTTCTCTCTCACACAGTCCCCTCGGACGTAAACACCTTCATTTGACTCCTTTGTTTACTTCTGTGACATCACTATGTAACTTATAAGGGGTGGGACATCTCTAAGCGGTTGACCAATCAAAACAGAGACAGCCAGCTAACCAATCAGAGCAGACTGGGCTCTGGTTTCAGACAGAGGGTGAAAAGAGGTGCTGCAGCACAGGCAGTAAGAGAAAAATAAAGAGCTTTTTGAACATTAAAGCATGGAGACATGTCACAGGAGAGACACTACATACAGATATGAACCCTAGGGCTCCTTTAACGATATCTGGTTATGGCTCTGTGTACGTCCTGGTTGAAGCAGATGGTTTATTATGTGTTGGTGCCCAAATAAGTGGTTCAATTCAAAAGCATTTTATACTGACACTTGCTGAAACAAGATACATTTAATCAACTTATATATTTATTAGTATTTTTGATTTAATTAATAACTTATTTGTTTTAAGAAATGAATACATGTTCCATACAAACATGCACTTCACTGTGTTTTCTTTACCACATAACACCTGTATTGCAGTTTGTATTCTTTCAGTGTGTTGTGATGTTTTGCATCTCAGTGTATTCTTTTGGTAAAGCACTTGACTCCTTGCCTTGTCTCAATCCATCATGATGACCTTGCATGTGTTCCTCTTCACATTTACAGAAAACCCAAAGTTGAAAAGATAAAGCCCGAGAAGAAAGCCGACCCAAAGGAACTTCTGAAGAAGAAGAAAGGTTTCCTGCCAGAGTCAAAGAAGCGTAGGAAGCGAGACATTCCCATCTTAGAGCCGGCGGCCGCGGCAGCCGCAGCGGAGCAGGCGACCCTCAGAGGGGGGAAACCTGCAGCAGGCACAGGTCACTGGAAAAAGAAACATGACAAGAAACCTAAACAGAAACGACCGGCCGACGGAGCAGCAGCCGCAGCAGCTTCTCCAAGCCCAGCCAAGAAGAGCAAGACAACGACGACATCTGAGAGCAACTCAGCCAAGAAGAAGAAACCCAAACAGAAGAAATAGGGAGCAGAAGTGAAGTGGACAATGTTTTTTAGAGGCTGTGCTTTTTTGTTTCTGTTTCTGTTTCTGTATTTCCTTGGCTGCGATTTTGTTTCAGACATGTTCGTTTCAATATGAGATGTTGTAATACATATTGAGACTTCGGATGTGTGGGACATGAATTTAGATGGATTATTTTTCTAACGTTTGACTAGAAGTAATAATGTCTACAACAATAAATGTATTTCTCTTCCTGGAGATTCATGATAACTCTGCTCCCACTGCAGTTCCTTTTGTGCTTTATTAATATGAAACATTTGTAATATGTAAAAAGCAACTAAACCTTGTTATACATTACCAATTATAAATATGTTCTGAGTCTAAGTTACATCTTTGTTTCATTTTTTCCAGGATATTTTATATTTTGCAATCAGTACAGTATTCTCAAATTGACATGGTTGATAAGATAACCCCTAAAAGTGGTCAAGAGGTTTATTTATTTAGTCAAAAAATACCAAAACCAACCTCCAGTTTGCTTAAAAAGGTGACTTACTGTTAGGTAAACAAAGGTCAAATGTACAGCTTAGCTTTTTAATATCAGTATCTTAAAGGTGAGGTAGGTAATTCACTTCAGAAACACTTTTTGTTATATTCCCATCCCGATAGCAATGAATACATGAAATGCTTTGACAATAAATACATAAAAAAATTTCATCTGTGGAAGCCGTGGCGCTGTAAAAAGCACGACCAATCTGAGCCGGCTAAAATAACTGGATGGCCTACCTGCCTGTCAGCCTTCCATCTGTGCACAAACTTATCTCGTACCCTCATTGGTCATGTGCGCGTTCGTGTGTGTTGGAGGAGGGGCTCTGTAAGGAAGTCTGAAGGAAGGGGCAGATTTCTTTTGGTTACGTACTTTCAAATTCTGGCGCACTCGAGCTGGTTTCTCCATTCTTACCTACCCTACCTTTAAACCAAGGGGTAAAATAAATCGTTACCAGATCTATAATATGTCACCCTATACAACACAGTCCAAAAAGCTTTAGTTATCGATGATAATGATCGTGCTTTCTTTAAGTTTCATTAGCATTTTCTTTTTTCTAGCGTATTGAAATCAAAGCTTAGGTTTCACCTTGGTGGCATTTAGTACTGGGCGCATAACATTTTACCTTTCTTCTTAAAACAGCAATAACCCATTTTCCCGTGCAGCAGCAGACGAGTCACCTTTAAAATGTAAAACATACATTTGTTGACATTTTATCCACATCCAGCAGATACGTGACAACAACCACTGATAAGGAGTCTTGTCTGTGTCCACCTGATGAATGCAAGTACAAATGTGTATCCTTTAAGCTCTGTTTTTGGGTCTCCACCACCCCCTGAGGGAAGTATCTGTCTCTTTAGCTGCTAAATGTTCCGCTATGTTCACCAGCTAGTCTCTAACTGTGCGTTTCTGCTGTTAGCCGATGAGCAGGTAATGTTTAGTGACAAATGAAAATGATTCTGAGAGGTCGAACAGATAAAAATGATAGAAATTTCACTGTGAGGCTCCAGAAGGTGGGCGCTAAAGCCAATAATATAATGTAGGTGATTAAAAACGACTGCTCTACGTTGTAATTTGATACCTTGTTACCATACAAATCTAGATTATAGCACATAGAAACAACTGAATGTAATTTATACATCTGTGTTTTATGATAGTCAGTAACATGTTTAGTCTGTGGCACACTTTTCCTTTAGAGAAGTGTTTCCTTTGTAATTGGCTTGTAATTTGTCACTGACCAAAATCCAGTTTCTAGCACTGCCAAGGTTAATCTCCATTACGACTGAACAAATATTTCTGAATGATTTGTCACGTTATGGCAATGTAACTTAATTATGTAACAATCTTATTAGTAAAAACATACTAAAACACCACTGGCTTCTGCACAGGGTTTGATGTTGCAAGCCTTTATGTCATAAACAAAGGTGAGCACTCCCACAGAACCCTAATTCAGCTGTCAGAAAATGATGCAGTGTCCCACAAATGGATTACTATACAGGACATGGAGCTGTGCCGCCATAAATCTACAGAGAGCCAGGCAGGTAGCAGCCTCATCCATCAGCTTATCTCATCTCAAAGCCCCTCTCCACTTCAGTGGTGGGTCCCAACAGGAGCCATCTTACTTTGTGTTGTTCACTGCTATACTCACAGTTCATAGCACTGAGCTATAAGTCCCGGTGATTTTAAATGCATGGTGGTGTGTGTGTCCTAACACAATATCAGTTAGAATCATTAGACGTAAACCACTGGTCTCAAATCAATACAATCTTAAAGGTAAGTATGTTTAGTCATTGAAATGTCTAAAAGCAACAAGAACTATTTTATATATTTTGTTGAGTTGTGTTCTTGCAATAAAAAACATTACCTTTTAATTTAAAGCACAATTTTAATTGTAATCAAGGTAATTACGAGTCGTAACCATGTTGAGCATGAATCTCTGTTTTGGTGTTGCCAGAAACATCCTGGCAGTTTTGAAGTCATGACGTGACTTTATTCACTTTCAAGCAACATTTGAAGGATATGTATTTGAGATCTTTTTAGTTTTCTTTATGTACTATGAGAGAAACAAGTAAAGGCAACTGGAGCAGCAACATCATAGGAGAACACTTTGTTTTTGTGAAACTGCTTTATATATTTTATTACAGGTCAGCATGTCTGTTTGTTTTTAGGAAGGAAGAAACACTCCTGAACGTTGAATTGAAGAAGATTGAAGATTCAACTTATTGTCATTACGTAGTACTGGTACTATGTAACAAAACGGTTTCTCTGCATTTGACCCATCCTAGTGCTAGGAGCAGTGGGCTGCCATTTTGTACGGCGCCTGGGGAGCAGTGTAGGGAACGGTGCCTTGCTCAGGGACACCTCGGTAGCACTTGGTCTTGAATGAATGAATCCCAACTGGGAAAAGCTGACAGAAATGACGGCAATGGTGATGAAGACAATAACTCCCATGATGCCACGGTACTTTTTCTTGTTGTTTGATAGACCTCAGGCATTTAAATCTGCTTTGACAAATATTAAGTAATTTTAATTTTATATAATATCTTCTATTTGAAAGGGGTGCCTATAGAGACAAACCCAAATCTGCAGTTTCACTCACGCCTAAATATCATTTTAGCCTTCAAACAGCAAAGTTAGTGAATATCTGGGGAAAACAGTGGAGCTTTTTAGCAGCTAAAAGCCAGATATTCATCACAGCAGCTGTGAAGACCAGAAACAGCCAGAAGAGAGAGACTATTGGATCAATTCACAGGCTAGCAGGAAACATGACTGCAAAGGATGCTTCAGATATAGATGTGTAATTTAAGCATCAGCTTGCCAGCAAGTGCACCAGGGCAACTTTTTATAGTGATAATATGTCAGTGTTTCCATTGCCCCATTTGAATAAATCAGTTCAAATGAACATTTAGGTTAAGGATCAGATTCTAATTGAATTTGAGATGAGTCTATGGAAAGTAATTAGGCCATTCCTTGATGTCTCTCATTCTACCTGTCTCTGTCCAGTGCAGCTCTTTATGTGTGACGATAAGTATAATCAGACCTTCTTTATCTATCTCTGACGATCCTCCATTATCTCATCCATTCCCAACCACTGAGCTCTGGTCTTCATCATTTCAAACTGTGTCAGTAATGGTTCCAGTCAAAGGTCTCTAAAAAGTACATGAGTATGAAGGGCAGAAATGCTGTGTATGTATGAGACTATGTTAAAAGAAAACTTCAGCAATAAGTTCAAAGTTAATATTGCACAATAGAGAAATCACAGGAGATTGTTCCTGATCTACAAAGCAGAGCAAATACTCTTAGTTTCTGGAACTGTACCTCCCAGCCACAGCTTGAACCTGCCGTAATGAAGCAACAGACACTGGTGACAAATCATCCACCTCGAACCCTGACAGCACGGGTGAAAAGAGGAGCAGCGGTGTCCTCTCCTCCTGACAGTGAACTGTCACTTGTCATCGCTGTGACTTCAGATTTAGAGAGCAGAACCAATCTGCTAATGCAGCTCAGAGGATTAATAAGAGTGGGCTGTAAAGTTGAGGACAAAGTCTCATCAATATGGGTAAGCTGTAACTGAATGCAATCTTGATGCAGCCACTCACCTTGTGAAATGTTGCTTTTGTTAAAGTGTGGGCCTTTGGAGTCTGAGGCTCCTCAGCAGGCTGTTGGCAGGGTGTTAGTTCTATATCGAGTGCAAACTGAAACCTACTAATTAGTGCACCCAGTAGTTTACTTGCCAGGCCTTGTAGGAAGGAACAATGGTTGAGTTGAGTCGTACTGTTTTCTTTAAACAGCTTCTTGGCCCAAATCTGCAAGCCTCCCACGGTCTCCTCTTCCCCGCCTGCTGTGCAGAAATCTTCCTTTTTCCAATTGAAATCATTTAAAAGACCCGTCTTCCTTTATGTCTATAAATCACACTGTATATTTTACAATAATGCTGACTATATCCAAAGCAAGCCAGAACAAGTTTGAGTGTGAATCCAACCCAGGATTGCAGACTCGACTGTATTTCAAGTGTCTGCAAGTTGATCTTTCAAGAAATGAAAGGAAATCGATGTCTCGAGGATTTAAAAAATATTCAATACTGTGTGTTCAACATATTAGTTTCAAAATGTGTTAAAGAGCTGAGACCATTTTTTTTAAAGCAGAGGTATAGCCAATAAATGTAACACACATTCTTACCAAAAGTGGGCCTAAAAATGTAAAATGTGTCCTTGGGCACTATAGGAGCAAGGTCCTGTTGGCCAGTGAAAAAAAGTGAAAGTATGTAATAAACTTTATTTATATAGCACTTACACTTAAGCTTCAGAGGACACTGCCTATCAGAACAATCAGCCCAACAACCCTTATAACTCGGACCATGGTTCAACCATTACACCAATCTGCAACAATGAACATTGGCACTGCACCATTTCACAGTAAATCACCCATTTAGATTAAACCGGCCAACCTTTAACAGAGCATATGCTCAGTGTGAATCTGGGTTGTATTCACTTGGGGGCACATGTGCTCATTAAATCTCCAGATTAGATTATGTTGTACTATTTAAATGCTGATAACTGAAGACCAGTTGCCTGAGGCGCCAAACACATTACACGCGACCATAATAAGGCTGTAATAAAGGTCTCAGAGGACCTAATCCACTCACTGGCCAACTAACGTCCCTTGCAAAGTTTATCTGCAGCACTGAGGAGCAGAACCCTGTGGGAAGACAAAACCCTGCAAACTGGCCTCATTAACTCTAAATGAGGCTATACACAATAACTAGGCTATTCCCAAAGCAAAGTTATGTGACACAAAAGTCTCTCGCTCTGCCTCTCTTTCTCAAGGAGCTCCATATGTGAGACAATAACTAAAGGCAGACCTACTTCATCTCTCCCTGACTAATGACCTCTATTTCATACATTCCCAACAAGTGACCTCTCGTCTTCAATCCTTCATAGCCAGGACCCTTCATCCACTTTCTAAGAACTTCCCTTCATCATTCCCAGCCACTAACCTCTACTGACTATAGGCCACCACCCCACATTGATTAATAACCACTGACCTTAGTTTGCACTAGTCACTGACCTTTTTCAATCCCAAGCAACTGACCGCCGCCAACATCCATCCATCCATCACAGAAAGCAATTATAGCCACTGACCTCTATTGATTCGTAGCCACTGACCTTCATTAGTTTCTAACAACTGACCTTCATTGAATCCTAGCCACTGACATCCTTTCATTGCTAGAAACCAACCACCACTGACTTACATCCTTCAAAGCCACGGAAGACGACTCAAAGCCACCGACCTCTATCGATTCATAGCCACTGACCTTGAACAATTCCTAGCAACTGACCACCATTGACCAATGTTCATTCTCAGCCATGGATCTATTGATTCCCTACCACTGACCTTCATTTTTTCTCAAGCCTCTGATATCCATTGAGACACAGCAACTGACGACCACTGACCTTCATCCATTCCTCGATCAACTCACAGCCTCTGACATTCATTGATGCCTAGCCACTGACCTCTACTGACTCCACGTTTCCTTACCACTGACCTTATTTTCTTTCTCAAGCCACTGATATTGTTTCCTACACACCAACTGACCACCACTGACCTTCATCTATGTGCAGCCATGGATTGCTTCATATCGACCATCCTTCATGTATTCCTAGTGAACTACCATCTCCTTCTGTTCTTCCATCCATTCCTACTCACTGACCTCCATTGATCGCTAGCCACTGTCCTTCATCATTGTCCAACAACTGACCTCCATTGATTCCTAGCCACCAACTGTTAGCACAGACACTGTAACAGATGTGGAGGAAGTCACCTCTATGCCACCCATTGATTTGTTAACTACGATTTATTTGAAGCCTCAGTTTGCCAATTTGGTCTTCGGTCGTCGTCATCTTGTTTTTTTGGAGCCAAGCCAAAAACAAACTGAAAAATCTAATCCCTGAACAAGATGATTGTCCAAAATGTTCCAATAAACTTCCATGCACATTCCAATTCCATACATTGAGAAAAGGTTGGAAAAAGTCTAAAGCAAAAACACAGAGCACCTAGAGTGGAGAACGCCATGGTAGGGACTATAATCATAGCAACACCCTAAAATGTACCTTGTTTAATTGTCTACTCTAGTTATCACTCAATAGGACCATCATTAAATGGAAAATCATGCTGTATTGAAGAAGAGCTGAAATTTGCAAGTGAGACCCTAAACAAATTAGGAAAAGTTGAATTGACACAATAAATCAAATCAGATGTAGGATCATTTTTTTTTTACATACAACCTGACTTTCTCTTGCAACCAATTAAGCCCCCCCCCTGCTGGATCTTAGAGAGAATACAGGTTAACTTTTCTGATCTTAGTTCATTCCCAGCCACTAACCTTTGTCCTAGCTTCTGACTTTTATTCATTCTTAACAACTAACCTCCATTGATTCCTAGTAGCCATCTCTTCTTATATGATTGCAAGACTCTGACCATCCCTAGACCCCCTGACCTCCTTCCATCGCTTGCTTTCTGAACTCCTTGACCCCATCATTTACCAGCAATGTACCTCCACTCATTCCTGGCGACTGACCTCTCTCCACTCGTATATGTCTTTCTGCCAACATCGATCTATTCCCCTCTTTGACCTCCATCCATCCCTGGTCTCTCCAATCCATTCTTTGCTACTGACGTCCAGCCAGCTTCATAACTTACCAGCAAGAGGTGTTGCCACCCTGCACAATAGATGACAATTTAACAGCTTTTAGCAGATGGAAAAGTGTACAACAGCCAGGCAATACGGAGAGATGCACATTTCCAGAAGATGGTTGAAAGACACGAATATAGTTATATCTATGACGACTTCATACTACCTGGTTTTAGTTACTTGGACTTACATAATAGTCAAGAAATCCATGTCTCGAGTGCCATGTAATTCCTATTTTGTCCATCCCAAAAATATGTTTGGTATTCCAGCTCCCAATCTATAAATTGGTCTGAGGGGAACATACGTTTGAATGTAGAAAGCATTAGTCATCTTTCGTTGACTTACTTCCAATTTCCCTGCTAAGATAAATGGTTTCATTCTGTTGCACTTATGCCAATGAGATAGGATCGACGGGCAGTCTGTCAGTGCATCTTCCAGGACTGGAGCTTTGCCAAAGAATACTTCATATTCCCAGGCCTTTTTCCGATTGGGGACAATTAGGAACATGCTGTCCTGGTACCTGGCCAACACTGAATGATGCTGATTCACTTCCACTGACCTCCAATACGACATGCTGTAGCGCCATTATGGAGATGTTGAGATTAAGGGTGGTACTTCTATGGATAACCTTCATGTTCATAAATCCCATTGAAAGATTGATGGGGTCTTTACAGTGCACTAGTTCTATATGCACTGGGTCTAAATGTGTAGTAACAGTATTTGACGTGGTCGTTTATACCATAGGAATTGTATAAGCAGTAATACTTTGATAGCTACAGAGGTTTAATGCAGGGGACCCAGTGCAAATGGATCTCCCCTAGGAAGGTCATTCGCCTACTGGGTGATGTAATGAAAACCCATCTTCAATTTGCATATTATCTAATGGCATGTACATTTTCACCAGTCCATTCAATATACTGAGAAGTAGCAATCTGATTTTTTAAAGAATCCCAAACAGTCTTCAAGCATGTAAGGTAACTGACACATTACAAGGATTAACATAATGTAAGTATTTATTTATAAACTTAGAATATTACATATTTTCCTTGATAAGGCAGATTATATGAACTCCAGAAAGATGATGTTACTGTAAAACATTCCAGCTCTCATAATGGCATACATTTACAGTGATTTCATATAATAAATGACACAGAATTGATATTAAGCCCACTATAATACAATATGAAGGATTAAAAAAGGAGAAAAAAGAACATGGGCTTAAACTCAAACCCTCTGTTGGATTCTAAACGTATTACATGTCAGAGAATACATTATAAATACTCAAAAAGGAAAGTACTGTATTAGCGCTAAAACTTACTATCTGACACATTAAAAAAAACATTATGTGCATTACTACAGCAAAAAGTCTGTCAGGCTAACTAGAGCTAGATGTCTAACAGACATTGGAGGACAGTACTTTAGGCAAATAAGCTAAGTCACTTAATTGAAGGAAAAAATACTACGCAAACAAATAAGCCATTTTCTACAGCCTATATGCAGCTTTGCACTGCCTAACAGCACCACAACATCCATTATAGTCTAACTACATACTGGTAGTGTGTCAGAGAGACATGCCAAGGAAGATCAGCGAGCCATTAAGGTCTGTGTTGTGTCACTAAACTCTTAATAATTCAACACAACCTCGTGTCACATCCCAGGGAAGATTTAAAGTTTAAACATCTTTGAGGGTTTCAAAAGAAGAGGAGGAGGTCCAAAAGTCAAAGCAGGCAAATACTTTATACAGTCTCATAAGTAATTACCGGTTGGCTAAATACTATTGTGTTAAGGAAGGTGTGAAGCTATCCTATGTGTCACTGTAGTTTTACCTCTATGCCGACTATTCTGCTCAGTATTCTGCGTTAATGTTTCTAATCTACAAGCAGCAGAGATGGGGAGCTCTTTGTGCCTTATTGCTTTTCCTGTTTATTCCACAGTCCCTGAAGTTAACAGTCAATGTGAACTGTCTCGTGCAGCACCTCGGTGGCGTCCTGGCTCTCTGCACTCTGGGGGCACGACAGCCTCTCCTCCTCACATCTCACGGATCGGACGATGACGCACGGCCTCGCGGGCTCTCCGCGCGTCCCTGCGCCGCGCGCGGGGCTGCGACTGTCGCGCTCATATTCCTCCTGCGCGCGCTGGATCTTCTTGTTCCGGAGCTTCCTCTTGTGGAAGTGGAAGGTTGCCAGGGAAACGAGGACGATCCCCACGAGCACGGCCACCAGTACGAGGAGCGCGAGGGTGGAGGAGAGGGGTGGAAAGAAGTGGAGCTGCTCCGCGCACGTGCCGTTACCGGCCTGGAGACCCCCGTGACAGCGGTGCGGCGGCACCGACAGCCCCGAGGCCTCAGAGGTTCTGGCCGTCATCCGGTCCACCTTTCCCGGCCACTCGTGTTTCTCTGACCCCGGTACCCTTCGTGCTCTCCGGGCTCAGCGCGGTGACACTGGCCCGCGCATGTGGTTACCTGCACCGAAGAGAAGACACATGAGAGCGAGCTCAGAGGACACTGTATCAGAACCACCAGAACCCGCCCCCCAACCCTCATTAACTGGATCCATTTGTAACACCATTTCACATTGGCAGTGCGCACCAGTTCACGCTAAACCACAATGAAAAAGCTGCCTACCTTTAGAGTAAATGTACAAAAAAAGATGCTGCCATGAATATAAGATGGGGTAGAAGTCGGGACAATACATCATCTATTGTAATAATAGGCCTACAATATTTAGCCAAACAGGATCCATCCTCTCCTGCACTCACGCAGCATCTTTGTCAGAAGATAATGTCTGCATTTGTTGCATCTTGAGCTAAAAATAAATTCAAATAAAGGGAATCCTTACCTGATGAAACAGTCAGTTCGGGGAACAGTCCGTGAGTGGAGAGCCGATGTGTGTGAATGGAAGAACAGGATCACGGTGACGCATTTCATACAATGAGATGCTGCTGCTGAGCTCCGATCAGTCAGGACGCTTTAAATTGCCGCAATCCGCTCAGTCTGCATCCAGGAAACCACTTCCCCCGCTAATCAGTAACGGGAGGGAATTCCCTCTCTATGCATTAAAGTGGGTTTTAAAAACGCGATATCAAAAAGAGCTGTGGTGATTTCCCCCTGAAAAGCGTCTCCCTCCTCCGCTCTTCCGCTGCTCCGCTCAGCATCTGAATGAAGAGCTGCAGCTGCATTACAGGTTCCTTATAGTCAGCTGGCACGGCTGGTTTTTTTCTTTCTTCAAACAGTCTACCAACCCCAGCGTGCATATGCTCCCCTGTGCTTATTGACGTTTCACTTGAATCAAACAATGAATAAATTAGTTATAATTTTAGAACTTGATCTGTAGCCATATCCACTGACATTCCGGAGGGTGTGGTCAGTCAAATGCTGCATAATTTGTAGCGTTTAAGCCTCATAATGAGGGGTGTAAATAATGTCCAGCTGTCATGCATTCCTTTGTTGCAAGAGCAAGTATAGGAAGGTGCCAATTATTAGCTTTCCCCCAGAATCTAGAGAGAGAACGTTGGCTGAAAGCCCATATTGTATAGTTTCAGATACGAAATATGCAATTAGTAAACACTGCACTTACATCTTTGATTAAACCAGTGTATCTCGTTAAAATACTGCCACTATCATTAAACACCCCTGAAAGCTTTATCTGTCCTATGGAAAGGATGTGGATACATTTGTATTATTGTATTTTATATAATTAAGGTTATACTCTCATTCTCAGCAATTTAAACCCATTCAAAAAGTCCCCATTTATTAAGATTTTTTGAAAATCCTAAAATTAATTCCTTAAAACAATAATTAAGGCTGAAGGTTTTAATGTATGTTAATACAAATATTAATTACAACATTATGTTGACAGCAAGAGCCCACAGAGAGCACACTTTAATAATATGCTAATAAGGCCAGATAATAACTCCCAATTTAATATAAAAGTAAAAACAATCATTAGAGTCTTAAAAGTAATCTGTGATGTTCGCCGCCTTCTCATCCCCCGCCAGACTTCCTTGGAGACCAAATATTCTGGCAGAATGATGAGTGATGAATCCAATCGATGGACTGACTCATCACTTGGATAACCGGTCTTTACAGACTAAGTGCAGTTATGCCATTGGTTTTAAATGAAGGAAGTGCTCTTAATAATAGCCCAATATAAGCAGTTTGACATTAGCTGTGAATAATACACCCCCGCTTTTACTTTCGCCGAAGAGATAAGTTAGAAAACCACTCATTTAGACACCCACCAAATCAAGCTCAGTTCCCCCCCGACTTGAAGAGTGCTGCAGGCGGTGTGACGAGCACTCCAAATATAGTGTGTGCAGTGAGGAGACACATTTACAATGAGGCTGCACCTTGACCTACCCTAAAGCAGTGTGAACTCAGACAAAAAACATCATTCTCCATTTTGTGTTTTTATGTCTGATTGTGTCTACAGTGCCAGAGTCTCTTGGTGTGAGACAGAAGAGAATCTGCATTTCACACATACTGATTCTAAGCAGGTTAGTAAGTGTGTGTTCACACTGGAAAAGTGGTAAAGTATGCATACTCCAATTGGCTGATTGATTGTGGTGTTGATTGATGACAACATTTTCCCAGGACGCATTGCACTAATTAATAGGATGGCATGCTCACATCTGTGAAACAAAAGCCCATAAATTGGACTGAAGGTAGAATAGCTTTGAGAACAAAGCAAAAAACAATCAAAGCAATTATGAAATCTGATTATATGAAACGTGAACAACTTCATCCTGAAAGACAAAATTATTCCTGTAACAGTCTAAGACTTTTGCATCACTTTGACTGTATATTATTTATGCACCAAACACCAAGTCAGATTCCAGAACCTATAACTGAATCTGATCCTGAGGAAGTTTAATCTTTCCTTATGATTGATATTATAAATTGCTATGTAGCAGTTTTTTGGCATCTAATATTAATTCAAACTCACAAATGTGTCACTCATGCTGGACTTTCAGGATCATCATGTTTTGGTTCCTAAAGCCATGCTTCCACCAACACAGCCTCTTGCAGAGTTAAACAACCAGGGCATCACCAAACTCAGCATGATTCATCGTCTGGGGATATTTAATAAAGGCACCAATGTTAAAGCGATCAAATACAGTAGTTGCTGAGATATTATCGTCTTGTTGCCTTGGAGTGTGTTTCACCCAGAAAGAAGTTATGATTGCAAGATATATTGTTCAGCAGAGATTCAGGCTGCACCTTCTCCCCCCAGTTCACACAAAGCTTTCCTGATGTTGCTGTTTCTTGTTTTTCTTTCTGTTAGTGTCAGCTGCTCTCAGTCTGCTGCCACAGCACATGGAAGAAGACACTGACCACCAACAAATAATCAACCTCATTGACAAACAAAACGGTCAATATGTCACGACTCTGCGAAACTACGTTCAATAATGACGCTTTTTCAAATCCTCTCTTTATCCCTGCGCTTGGCAACTACAGCATGGTTAAGGTCAGTTACATTTTATGGAAACTATTGGATTAGGTAGCTACGAAACTTGGTCAAACCTGCATGACAGATGTTTTGTTAACTGGGGGAAACGGCCACAGGGTTCACTAAGTAATGTTTATGATATATGTTCAATATATACTCTCTTAGCTCTGTGTTGGTCTGCACCGACTACTGAGGGAAAGGTTTCTCTCTTTGAAATAAATAAAAAGTCTGGTGACATATGTGCATCATTTGAGTAACGTAATACTTATTTTAATCTAAACCATTATCTTTTTCCTAAAATACCTAGTAGGTTTGGCTCCAAACACATCTTCAATCTTGCAGCTCTTCATAGATATGCATCTTCTGGTTTACTGGTGGGAGTAATTGGCCCCTTCTGAGTGGAATTGAAAATAATTGATAAAGGCCATTTCATGACGTGATAACATCAGTAGAACAATCAGAGCCTCAACAGGATGTGGTTCACTGAGTAGCTCTTATTGTCCAGGGCCACTTTAAGGAACAGCTGCATTGAAGGGGAACAGGGGAGTCTTCTCTCCTTGATCTTATCCGAGCCGCAGGTGGTTCATCCCACACCATTCCACAATCCGGTCCACAACACTTTTATATTCAGCCTCTTCGTCCCTGATGACAAACAGCAGAGTCATCCGAGATCTGAGAAAACAGTGTGTGGCTTCTGAAGTCTGACGAGAGAAAGCACGACTGAGAACAAAAGGGAAAATCCTCTCATTTTCAAAATCTCTAAAATGTTCTCATTATTACGAATCATTATTATTTTATGCTTTGATTTAAAATGTTCTTTAAATGTGTCTTTATATTACTCATCTATTGGTAGATAGATAATCTTACTCTAATTAAATCATAATTCACACATTTGTGATTCTTTTAGAGGGGCCCAACGGATTTTGGTTTTTATTACATTTCTTGTAATGTGTTGTATAGGTTTGTGTGCATGTAAATGGGCTGCAAAGACTCAACTCCCTGTGTTCCCTCCAGAGGGACTTTCTCTCCCAAACATGCCTGAAACACCTCCATTGGAATCCTTTGTTTACTTCAGTAACACAATGACATCACTATGTAACACTCGTGCTTCTATTAGCTAGCACAACACATTGTACGTGATAGGCTAAGGGTCGGGACATCTCTAAGCGGTTCACCAATCACAACAGAGCCGGCCAGCTGACCAATCAGAGCAGACTGGGCTCTGGTTTCGGACAGAGGGTGAAAAGATAGGCAGTATGAGAAAAATAAAGAGCTTTTTGAACATTAAAGCTAGGAAACATGTCACAGTAGAGACACTACATACTGATATGAACATTAAAACAAGCATGATAGAGCCCCTTTCAAACTTTTCACTGTTTTCGATTAATAAGCTGCAAGCAGATTTTAGGATTTGAAGGCATTGTTTGATGAAATATTTAATAATGGACACTATTGTTACCTAAATGTTGGACTTAAATCTTAGAAAAATGTGATAAAAGTCATATATCCGAGTAATTGACAAAGTCTATTTTGCATAATTGTGCAGTGAAAAGTAGATGAAAGCCTGCCGAAGAAAAGGGCAACACTTGATCAGATAAAAGTCTCTGTGTTGGTACCACAAAGCGTTTTTTTACAGTATTATCCCAGTCCTACTTGTGGACATGTTTCCCACCAGCGGGGCTCCATGAAAAATGAATGTCCTCGGAGGGAGAGAGGGTCCCTGAATGATGAACTCGCTGAAGATGAGTGCATGCTAAAAGATTTATACAACTATTCATGCACAGTTTAAAGCCTGGCATATGTTTTAGGGCTGTTAAATGGAGAGTGATTATAGCACTTGTTTTAATATTCATACAGGTCCGCTCAGTTTTCCAGGTCAACTGGCTCGCATTAGATCCACCTGACCTAACTCCAACCACAGAGGACACACTTAACCTTCAAATAAATGGCATACTTGTATAAAAAACTCTCAAGATACAGCCTCTTTGGGGCCTTGAAGGTCGACAAGACGCTGCATTTAGTGGTGACTCTGCAGCTGTGGCAGGAAATCCTGTCGTATTAACGTAGATGGAGTTTGTCTTTGAAAGCCTCTAACAGATTAAATTGCACAAAGTGTGTATCTTTGATGAATTGTACAAATGGAGATAATGGTACACACGTTCAGACAAGTCTCTCTTTGAAGGCTTTCATGAGAGAAAAAGAGCTTGAGAGAAGTTTAAACCCTGTCCAATTTCACACTGCTGCACACTGTGTGCTACCCGCCCATCAACAAACAGCAGTGGGTTTATTGGAGCTCGCTGAGGCTGGAAACGAGGTTTGAGAAAGAGTGAACCACAGCGGTGAAAACCAAAACAATGGGCTGAAAGATGTGGAAACACTCAGCAGAGCTGCGGGGAAACTGAAGAATTGGAGGATACTTCTCTATGGGTTACAAAAGACATTTCTTATACGTCATTTCATCAAGCGGTAATATAAATATGTTTATTTTAGCAGTTTAACATGTTTTTATGCATCTCAACAAAAATAAATAGTTCCCAGTGGTGAGGAAGTATAAGCATAAGTAAAAGTACTAAGTAATACCTTAGTGTATTGTCTGAAACCAGAGCCCAGTCTGCTCTGATTGGTTAGCTGGCCAGCTCTGTTGTGATTGGTCAACCGCTTAGAGATGTCCCGCCCCTTAGCCTATCACGTATATTGTGTTGTAGCGTTA